AACAAGCTATGCAAACAATTCCCTACTTCAAGTTAGTCACCCTCTCTCTCTCTCTCTCTCTCTCTCTCTCTCTCTCTCTCTCTCTCTATATATATATATATATATATATATATCCACCAGTTAAAGAACATGGTTCTTTCTAAAATTATTTTGATAGTTATAAGTTATAACCAAAATTATGCACACAAAAAAAAAAATCTGGAAGAGAGGAGGAATTATGCAATATTCATGCTTCCTTCAAACCTCGTTTATTTTTTTCTTCAGAGAGCAGTGATTTCAATGGTGAAGCCCATAGTTGGTGCAAGCATAGAGGAGCTGTGTTGCACTCTCTTCCCAGAGTGTTTGAAAGTAGCGGACTTGGGATGCTCTTCAGGACCCAACACCCTTTTTGTGGTATCAGAAATCATAGACAGCATCCACACAACTTACCAAAAACTCAACCGCCCACCTCCATCACTCCAAGCCTTCTTGAATGATCTTCCTGGAAACGATTTCAACACGTTGTTCAGGTCATTGCCAGGCTTCTATAAGAAACTTGATGACGAATATGAGAAGAAGTTCGGGTCATGTTTTATTGCAGGAATGCCTGGTTCTTTCTATGGCAGGCTCTTCCCCAACAATTCTCTCCACTTTGTTCACTCTTCTTATGCTCTCATGTGGATCTCTGAGGTTTGGATTTTTAATCAATCATTGAGTCGTTATTAGGCATAAACTCTTCATACACCCAGTTATATATAACTCATTAGTTAGGATGCTCCAGTTAAACATAAAAATGTCTCCATGAGAAGACTTTCTCAATCAACTAGGGATTTAAAAAAAATTATATATCTTGCAAGTTTGTCTAATTTTTTAGCTTTATCAACCAGTCTTCTATGATTTTTTATTTTTTATTTTTTATAATTACTTTATTCAATTGGTAAAATAATAATAATTCTAAAATCGTGTGTATGTAGGTTCCAAAAGGCTTGGTGACCGAAGAAGGAGAGGGGCTTAACAAGGGGAACATATATATAGCAAAGACAAGCCCTCCAGCTGTGTTTAAGCAATACCTGGAGCAATTCAAAAGGGGCTTCACAGTCTTTTTGAGGTCACGTGCCGAAGAGCTCGTCCCTGGGGGCAGTATGGTCCTCACAACCATTGGCAGCATTAAGAGTGACGATCCCCTCTGCATTTGGGAATTTGTAGGAATGAAGCTCAATGACATGGTTTTAGAGGTAATTAAATATTAGATCATATTTATTTCTAATAGATTTGGGACACAATAATTATTGCTAATTTGAAATGTACTTTGATGAATTTTCAGGGTTTGATTGAAGAGAAAAAATTGGACACATTCAATATGCCATACTATACACCTACAACCAAGGAGATCGAAGAGGTGATCGAGGCTGAAGGATCTTTTATTTTGCAAAACCTTGAAGTTTTCAAAAATGATTGGGACTCTTATGTCAAGCAAGCTAATAGTGGCCTTGATAAGAAGACAAGGGCTGCAATATTTGCCACTGACATAAGGGCTGTGGGAGAGCCGATTCTGGCGAGCCAATTCGGAGAAGCACCCATAGACGATTTGTTTCGTAGGTTTGAAGCAGATGTTCTTGATCACATGGAAAGGGAAAACTGCCAGTTCATTAACTTGGTTATCTCGTTGACAAAGAAGCGTTGAGATGAATATTCAAGAAATGGGGCTTATGTTCCATATGCTTTGTTTATGTAACGTTTGTACCTTTGAGGTCTCTTGGACTTCAGTTTATTGTTAAGAATAAAGTTGTTGACATCTGGTCATCTTTGTGTTATTCATACTTCGATTTAAAATGCGTTAAAGGAAATGAGCGAAGTTTCTTTGGAAAATTATCAATTTAGCTTCAGTTTTCGATTCGTAGAAAACCCAAAACCCTAACTAGCTATCCAAACTCAAATCTAAGACCCTTGAAAAAAGAAGTTCATGTTCAAGTAATTAGATGTTTTTTGTTGATTAGAATCACACAAAGAAGATTTAGAAACTCCAGTTCAAGTTTTAAAAAGATTTTTTTTTTAAATAAAATAAAATTCCCCCACACAGGTGTGATTGTGATTTCACAAGGACGAGAAATTAGTGAGACTTCAGAGAAATGGACTGCTCCTATAATACCCCGAAAAATTTAAGGGGGTTTTTCATATTTTAGTGCAAAATAATATTATGGTAGAGAATGATTATGGGTACTTTATTAAGTGATTTTGGATGGAGATTAGTAAATTAAATGTGTTTAATTTGAAGTTGGACAAAGATGACAAAAATACCCTTATGTGTGGTTAATTACCAAAATATCCATGTAAAAAAAAAAAAAAAAAAAAAAAAAAAAAAAAAAAAAAGAGCGAGAAACTAGAAAACGTGGAAGGTGGAATTAAACCATCCTCCTCCCATTCTTCCCCCATTGCCTCATTTCAAAACCTCCATCATGAAGGGATGAGGATGAGTCACCAAGCCTAAGGGATTTTTCTTGATGAAGCTAAGAACTAGCTAGGGGAGGTGAATTGCTGGTAGGAGGGAGAAGATAATGAGAGAGAGAGAGAGAGAGAGAGAGAGAGAGAGAGAGAGAAGAAGAAAACTAAGAACAAGGAGAATAGGAAGAAGAGAAGAATGTGGGAACCGAATTAAATCAGACCCTAGGTCAAATAATTCCTTTTATTTGGGGATTATTTGACCTAATTGGGAATTATTTATCCTAATTGGAAGTTACTCAATTTAATTGGGGATTTGTAAATGTATGGATTTTATAATTTTTTTTTTGCTTCCCTTGACAAGTTTGTAATAGGACAATCATTATATTTTGTCAAGCTCAAGTTTAGATTAAGAATTTCATCTCTAGGTGTGTTCTTATCTGGCTACATTATGATAGACAACATTGTGTTTGACAAAGGTATGTTTTGCATTGCATCACATTGCATTAACCTATTCCTGAAGATTATGACTAGTCATCCTTTCTCCATATGACTAGTCAACCTTTGCATTAGTAAGTTTTTCCAAGTCACTGTTTCAAGCTGGATCCTACCCACTTTTTTGTCCTATTCTGCGAAATCCTCTGCTGCCTTGTGCGATTCCAACTTAGGAATTTTTGTGTAAAAACACATGCATTCCTTATTTGGTAGCCGTCACTTTGGGGGACAAGTTTTGGAAAGTTTCATAGCAAACTTTCGCTTCTTCTTCCTCAAGAGTAACCTTCATATTTTTCATCTTTGAGTTTTCCAAATTGTTTCTTTTTGAAAACTACATTTGAAATATGAAAACTTCATCTTGCTAGATCAAACACTCTATCATATATATCTAGGTCAGATTCAAGATTGATTTCTTCAAGAGTATGGTTTCTTGAAGAAATTGGTCATTTTCTCCATGAATCCAAATTTCATTTCTGTATGAGTTAGATCTTGCAAGCTAGTGCCATAGGATGAAAGAGCTGGAGGAGGAGCTGCCATTGCCATCAAGAACTGAGCTTCAAGCTTTACTAAGTTGGAGAAGAAGATTGCACAAAGGAGGTATAGCTCATCTTCCTAAATAGACCTAGGAATTTCTTGAGCTTGCTAGTGTTCTTTGTAAGAATCTTTTTGCTTAGTGGATTGCCTGGTCGGTTGATGGCCCCCAGTTTTTCCCAATGGTGGGTTTCTGGGTAAACAATTTCTGGTTTCCATCTCTGTAAATTTTCTGGGTTTGTGTTCTTGATAGTTGACTAGTCATCTGGGTTTGTGCGGTTGACTAGTCATCTTTTTCTGCTATTTGGTGTTTGCTTGATTATGTTGTCTTCACACACTTTCACCATAGTTGTTGCTAGCACAGGGGATGCCTAGATTGACGGGTCCTTCTGAGTGCCTAGGTTGTCACTAGTAATTTCTAGGCTTGCAGGTACATCTTGGTATGCTCTGTATATGTTATTGTTTGGTATAATTCATATCTGACAGTTGACTAGTCATAAGAGTATTTGGTCAAGGTCTAGAGTGTGAAGTTTGTTACGTTCTTGGTTGAATATCTTTTAAATTTATCCATTGTCAACTAAGTACCAATTTCAGGATTACCTAATTAGGTTGAGAATTGATTTGATTCCTACTACAATTCCCAATTAAATGAGGAGTTACCTAATTAAATTAGGAATTGATTTGATACCTACCACAATTAGGGATTTGATTTACCCTAATAAATCAAATTCCTAATTAATCAAATAAATTCCAAATCGGGAAGGAATAATTCCTTTCCATCTACGGAATTATTCCTCTGAAACCCTAGCCTCTGAGACCACTATAAAAGGATGGCCACACACAAGGGTTGAGGTACATCTAAATTCCTACTAAAACTCTGCAGAAATTATTTCTCAAATACCTTAGCCACCATATTCTTTCTCTATCTCAAACAAGGCTCCGCCCACCCGGTTTTCCTTGAAACACCCAACCTAACTTAGGCATCGGAGGGCTTTTGGCCAACAACCCCTGGTTGTGGTCCTTTTACTTCGATATGTTTTGCAGGGAGAAAGAAAAATAAAGAAGACAAAGGAATCTTAGGCGAATATTCTAGTGGGACGAAAATCGCTCCCACAAATTGGTGCTTTCATTGAGAGCGTCAGATAATACTCAAAGCGTGCTCCAAATTCATCTTCCATACATTTTTTCAAACAACCATGGTTGATACAAGACGTACGAAGAGTAACGCCACCACGACGGGCCCGTCTCATGGTTTCGTGGTGGAAACCTTAATGTAACAGCACGGAATTGTGGCCACCAATACCATGCAGCCGTCTCCTAGTGCTTTGCAGCCACAGACAGCTGCTGGAATTGCATAACAGCCGCCGCAAACAGCTGTTGGAATTGTCGAACAGCCACCACATGATTCCGTGACTTCCACAGCCTTGTAACCGCAAGCACCGATTGCTGGAGCTGCTCTGCCGCGGTATCTTGCTGTCGGAGCACAGCAGCAGCCACACCACTCAACTGCCGGAACTGCTGCACAGCCTCACGGCTATTTCAACGCCGTCCCAGTCATGGAGCAGATCCATTCTCTCACTCCTCTGCAACCACACTTGATGTATGCACCTGTGTGCGCGTCTAATGGAGCCCTAGCTCATATGCCGTTGGGCCCAATGCACACCGCTCTACTTGACCCGCGCAGTCAGGTGGACATTAACTCACGGTTTGATCAACTCACATAGAGGGTCGACGATCAAAACAACCTGATTGGTCAGCTACTCAGGCAGATCAACTTGAATCAAGGCCCTAACCTTGGACCCCGTGACGAGGAGAGGAGGATGCACGAGCAAGTCGGAGAGCAGTTCGAGAGGTCACAGGCTAGTCAGACAGGGGCAAATAGGCTGGGGAGAGAATGAGATAGTGCAAACGAGACGCAAATAGCTGCGAGCTGCACTCTGAGCCGTTCGAGGTTAGGTCTAAGGACCAATGTGCTCGAGAGATTGGGCCCACAGTCCAACATCCACGCTCGCTTAAGCCCATAAGGAGTTCGAGTTTGTGAGCAGTGACGTGACGAGCGCAACGATCGATGCCCACCAGCCCGCTCGAGGACCAACACGCGGCGGCAAGCTGTAGAGGGATCCCCTCAAGCTCAACCTTTTCATCTTCCTAGCGGGCAGGGCAACCAAGAGGATCGACCCTTGAGAGTGGAGGAAGAAGTTAGCCAGTCGCGCCCGAGGCATCGAAGATGTCGACCCGAACAACCCTCCTTGCGGGCAGAAGATGTCGATCGGCACTTACCAGCCAGCTCGAGGACCAACATGAGGCGACAAGCTGTAGATGAGTCCTCACAAGCTCAATCTCTTAATTTGCCCCACGAGCAAGTCAACCAAGGGGATCAACCCTTAGGAACTAAGGAACAAGTTAGCTAGCTGCGCTCGAGGCATCAAGGACATCGGCTGGAGCCTCCAGCCCTACGGGCAGAAGATGTCGAGAAGCTAGTAAATGACCGACTCCAAGGTCTTCAACTTAAAGGAAGCACGGATGAGGCCCTACGCAAGGAAATTGATCGAGTTGACTGCTCGCCCTTTACTGACGAGGTGGAATGAGCTCCACTGCCGAAGCGGTTCACAATGCCATCCATCACTTCGTTCAAGGGGGACTCTGACCCTGAGAGCCATCTGAGGCACTTCAAAAGCGCCATGATCCTAGGCAGACGACGCCCTGATGTGCAAAGTGTTCGCGATGACTCTATGAGGAGCAGCTCAAGACACACTCTACCGTTCGCATTGATAGGCAACTTCAAGGAGTTAGCCCTCATCTTCATAAAGGAGTACACCTCCTACAAGACGGTCAGAAAGCATGCGGACCACCTGTTCAACCTACGCAAGAAGCCAGATGAGTCTCTTTGAGACTACCTGAGACGGTTTAAGGTTGAGAAGGTTAAGATCATAGGATGCAACAACCAAGTTGCATCCTCAGCTTTCAAGAAGGGCTTGCCAACCGAGCACAAGCTCTATCGGGAGCTGGCCATAACTCCAAGCCAAACCTTGGCAGAAGTCTTCACGATAGCAAAGCCCTATGCACTTTGGGACGATGACCGTATCGCTGCGAAGAAAGCAAGCAAGCAAGTTGATCACCAGACGAAGCAGGCAAGTCAAAAGAGCAACAAGTTGGATCAAAAAGCCCAGGACAAACGCAGATCGCAGCCCAAAGAAGGAGGTTTAGAAACAGGGATCTTCACCGAGTTCGCCATCCCGATCCACCAAATCCTGGCACAAGTGAAGGACAAGCTGTGGGTGAGAAGATCGCCACCCATGAGGGAGACCTTTCTAAGAGGGACACCTGTAAATACTGCGCATTCCAATGGGAGTATGGTCATTACACCAACAACTGCAACGCTTGGAAAGGCACCTTGAGGAGCTGGTCAGAGAAGGCCATTGCACAGAATTCGTCGCAAATAAGGTCATCCAGCAAATCGAGGATCGTGATGCAACTGCCAAAGAACATCCCTAAAAGGTCATTAGAATCAACACCGTTCTAGCTGACTCCCAAGAGTCCGGGCTAACCACCAAGGAGTGCAAGAGAAAGATCACACATACAACTTATATCTCTCAAGTCACAACGGGAGTACCTCTCACTGTGGATACACCCATCATCGGCTTCCAGAAGGACTTGATCGGGCTTTATCGGCCGCATAATGATGCCCTAGTCATCTGCATCCAAATTGAACAAGCTGTGATCGAGCGAGTTCATGTAGATGGAGTAATGCAGCCAACATCCTGCAACTATCTGTTATCCAACAGATAGGATTGGAGTCCAAGATTAGCAAACTTGCAAGATCGCTCACCGGCTTCAATGGGGCCACGTCAATCACAGTTGGAACGATCGACCTTGACGTCCACTCACCCCTAGTGGTATGCTCGCAAACCTTCATAGTTATCGACGAGGTTTTCGCTTACAACGGAATCTTGGGCCGATCGTGAATCAATAAGATTGAGGCCATCACATCTGCTCTACACCAGAAGATCCGCTACCCCATCCTTGGGGGCGGGATCGGGCAGATTAACAGTAACCAAGCCATGACAAAGAGATGCATAGCCCAATGGCTCAAGAAGAGCAAGCAGTTGCAGTTCACACTGGTAATGCAAGCTGCCAACGAGACAGGAAGCGATCCTAGCAGACAAGCAAGCTCGAACGGGAAGGGAGTTGCTACCTCACAATAGCAATTAAGGAGCCAGGATCAAGGCGAGGGAATCCACTCGGAAGACTCCCCTGAAAAGGGTTGAAAGTCTAAGGATGACGTCGAGTTAGTACCCTATGATCCTGGCCAGCCAGACAAAGAAGTGTAGATCGGCTCGCGCTAGAATCCAAATAAGAAGGATCGAGACAAGGGAATCTGTCTGAAAGGCACCCTTGAAGAAGGTTGGAAGCCTTAGGAAGACGTTGAATTAGTACCCCCTCGATCAATATCAGCCAGACAAGAAAGCGCTGATCGACTCGCGCTTAAGCCCAGACGAGAAGATGGAGCTGACCACCTTCCTCTAGAACAACAAAACATGTTCGCAGGGTTGCCATCTGACATACCCGGTATCGACCCAAACATTATCTGCCACCGACTCCATGTCAACCCTGCTAGCAAGCCCATGGTGCAGAAGAGACGCAATTTCACTCCCGAGCGGGTCGCGATCATTGAAGCTGAGATTGACAAGCTTCTAACTGCCGGTTTCATTGAAGAGGTCTCCTACTCAGAATGGCTGGCCAACGTTGTTCTGGTGGTGAAACAAGAAAATGGCAAATGGAGAGTGCGTCGATTACACCGACCTCAACAAAGCATGCCCTAAAGACAACTTTCCATTGCCGAGAATCGACCAGCTCGTGGATTCAACTTCCGGCAATTAGCTGCTTAGCTTCATGGATGCTTACTCCGACTATAATCAAATTATGATGTATGACAATGACAAGGCGAAGACCTTTTTCATCATCGAGAAAGGGACCTACTGCTACAAGGTCATGCCTTTTGGGCTGAAGAATGCCGGAGCAACCTACTAAAGGCTCGTGAATCAAGGAGTAGATCGGCAGAACTATGGAAGTCTACGTGGACGATATGCTGGTCAAAGAGCCCCCAAGCAGGCAGACCACCTCAAAAACCTCGCCTTGGCATTCAGCCTGCTCAGCCAGTATTGCATGAGGAATACCATCGACAGAACAATCCATGGTCATTCATGCAGTGGACCATTGACTTGGTGGGACCTATGTTGACAGCACTTGCCAAGAAGGAGATGATGATTGTCGTTATTGATTACTTCACCAAATGGATCAAGGCCGAAGCTTTATCCTTTACCAAGGTAGCTAATGTTGAGCGGTTCATCTGGAAGAACATCATTTGTAGATTCAATTGCCCGCAATCGATAGTCACCGACAATGGTACACAGTTCGTGGGTAGGCAAATCACCGCATTCCTTGAGAAGTATGGCATCAAGCAGCCCTTTTTCGAGCATTATGTCCCCGACATATGCTCGCAGGCGACGAGCCTCACCTCTACTGAAGGCAAGCTACTCCTCGAGTACAAACCTCATGGAGTCTTTTCAAGCGTTATGTCCTCGACATACGCACACAGGCGACAAGCCTTATCTCCATTGCAGACAAGCTACTCCTTGAGTACAAACTCAATGAAGCCCTTTTTTGAGCATTATGTCCTCGGCATATACTCGTAGGCGACAAGCCTCATCTCTACTGAAGACAAGCTGCTCCTCGAGTACAAACTTCATGGAGTCTTTTCAAGCATTATATCCCCGACATATGCAAATAGACGACAAGCCTTACTTCCATTATAGGCAAGCTACTTCACAAGGACAAACTCAATGGAGTCGCTTTCAAGTGCTTTGTCTCTGGACATACACTTACAAGATACAAAGAGAATTGGAGTTTGAAAGACAACTGAAAATTCCATAACAAAGCGGCCAACCGGCCGAGTTCAACAAGAAATAAGGTGGTCAACCAAAGACCACTTATTGAAAGAAAATTACAAAGTTCAAAAATAGCAAAAATGAACTACATCTATTAGGGGACTTCAGCAGGTGACCCTTGGCCGATCACATCCTCGACTACGCTGGGAACAGCCTCACTCTGCTTAACTAGCACCACTTGCTCAACTGCCTCGGCTGCTTGCTCCTTCGCATCTGCCTTAGCCTCATCAGTTGACCCACCTTGGGGTTTGTCTTCCTCCATTGCAACTTCATCTGCTATCTGCTTTTCAACTGCTTCTGCATCCACAACATTGACTGGCTCACTCTGAGCGAGAGGCAGGTCAAGACAGGACTGCTCACCATCATCTTCTTCGAAAAGGCAGCAAGGAGAAGCACCATTCTGACAATCTAGGTATCCCAGATTATACGCATTAGCAGCAATCTCATGCTTGGATGCCTCCGTGGCTTCCACATGGGTGTTAAACTTGACCAGTAATTTGTCACGATCCTGGGCCAAAGCAGCATGCTTACGTTCGAGGCAGAAGTAGGCTTCCTTGCGTTCGAGCAGGGTAGCCATAAGAGACTTGAGTTCACCATCCTTTGGCCAACAGAACTCTTGAGCGTGGACATACTCTCCTTCATCTCAGAAATCCTCACGTCATGGCGAATCTGCTCGTTCGAGAGCTTGTCAATCAGGTCGGCATTCTTCTTCACCAGCTCGTCAAGCAGGGTAGAAGAGGGGGCAACATCACGCAAGTTCCGCATGGCCCCAACAGCAAAAACCATCCCTTTTTGAAGATGATACATGGCAGCTTCTTCTTGCTTATCCAAGGGAAGGCTCGAGAAGGCACAAAGATCACCAGCTCGATACACGTGGTCAACTAGCTTAGTACAAGTTGATGGTCTTGACAAAAAGCCTGTTTTTAGCAGATCAGACACGGGCTCACCCCCAACAGAGCTATCACCAATTCTCGAACCGACAGTTCGTGCAATTGGAGGACTCTTCGCTTAAGCATACAACTCTTCAGCTCTCTTGGCTGTAACTTGCAACATCAAGTCAGCTCCATGCTTGATTGTTCGTGGCCCCACAAACGAGTCATGGTTGCTAGGCAGAGGTATAGTCCTCTCAATTTGGTCCCCAGACCTACACAGACGCCCCAAACCTTACTTCCTAGCAGCCTCCTTGCAAGGCGGGCGGAGACTTGGGCAGTACAGGCGTAGACTTGAGCAGAATATCCCGAACCTCCTGCATGCCATTGGCCTTCTTGCTTCTCGCGCTGACAAGGCGTTTGATCCCAGTCAACAAGGCATGAGTAACTCCCATATGGGCCTTCTTAGTAGACGAGACCTCCCTTGAGGAAGACTTGTTCGCAACAAGAGAAGATCTCAAATGCCTTCGCTGTGGAGATGTATCCAAAGATCATGAGACTGCAGCTTCATCGCTGGCAGGTTTACTGCACGCCTTCCTATCCTCGGGGGACTCGGTCGATGACTCTTCTTGCTCAATTGGCAAGTCACTTAGCTCCATGCAGTGCAACTTCCACCATTCAATATCTTCAGCAGGGGCAGGCTATCGACTTTCTTTCGATGTTCGCGGAGCAGCCATCGCCATTCACGAAACTTGACGGGGATGCTCAAAGCCTGCCGAACCTTTGTCATGTCTGGGTCGAGAACGAGCTTCTTCCGAATGGCATTATCTACAAGCAGAAGACAAAAGTTAGTCAGACGCAAGGCAAAAACCAAAAAAGACAACCACCTCCACGCATGAGCCCCGATCAAAAAGGAAGCTCAGTTGCAATTGGATGGCCCAACGGTTAATCCACATCTCCTACATGCCCTCACTCGCCATGCAGAAGCTGGGGGGGCATTTTTGGGAACCGAATTAAATCAGACCCTAGGTCAAATAATTCCTTCCATTTAGGGATTATTTGACCTAATTTGGAATTTTCATCCTAATTGGGAGTTCCTCAATTTAATTGGGGATTACCCAATTAAATTGAACGTTACCTAATTAGGTTGAGAATTGATTTGATTCCTACTACAATTCCCAATTAAATGAGGAGTTACCTAATTAAATTAGGAATTGATTTGATACCTACCACAATTAGGGATTTAATTTACCCTAATAAATCAAATCCCTAATTAATCAAATCAATTCCAAATCGGGGAGGAATAATTCCTTTCCATCTACAGAATTATTCCTCTGAAACCCTAGCCTCCGAGACCACTATAAAAGGATGGCCACACACAAGGGTTGAAGTACGTCTAAATTCCTACTAAAACTCTGCAGAAATTATTTCTCAAATACCCTAGCCACCATATTCTCTCTCTATCTCTCTCACACAAGGCTCCGGCCACCCGGTTTTCCTTGAAACACCCAACCCAACTTAGGCATCAGAGGGCTTTTGGCCAACACCCCCCGAGTGTGGTCCTTTTACTCCGATATGTTTTGCAGGGAGAAAGAGAAGTGAAGAACACAAAGGAATCTTGGGCGAATATTCTAGTGGGACGAAAATCGCTCCCACAAAGAGCATAAAAATCTCTAAGGTGAGTCAATTTAAAATTTTGATTTATAACCTTGTGTTGTATGTTTCTAGTCCCTTAAAGAGTATTTTGAGTCTTTTGAGTGTTGGAGAAATTGAATTGGAAGAGGTTGAATCTCTATTTTGGGGTTGGGTGCATAGAGTAATTTTTCAAGTGTGGGTGTTTATGATTTCGGTTCCATTTTTAGTTTTTGATGAGTTCGATTGATAGGTATGAAGTTTAGAAGTGTTTTAGAAGCCTTAGGAACAACTTGGAGGTGTTAGAATGGTTGGAAACAACTTAGAACCAAATCTGGAAATTTGCATTTTTTTGGAAAATTTGCAGTCCGTGAGCCTCACTTTCGCTCTCTTTTTATCCCGATCCTTTGGCTGTTTGAGGAAGCCATTATTAAGTTTTAAACTAGACTTGTCAAGGAACAAAAACTATTCGGTTTCGTTGAGTTTGGTTGAGTTTTGATGGGTTAAACACAGGTGCAAAGTTTGGAAAAAAAAATCTATTTTTGCAAAAAAGCCAGCCACGAGTCCAACTTTGGAGCTAGTTTTCTCCTTCGTTTTAGCTTCATTTTGAGTATGGTTTTTTGGGTTAGAAACTAGAGAGAATAATATTCAAAACCACTACAAGTTTGCCCATTTTTGTTAACGTTTTCTGGGTCAAAATGTCTCACAAAGTCTGGCTTTTTAAACTGAAAACAGGAGAAGTTGCAGGATTTTTGGGGAAGACAATGAACAGAGTAACCGGAAACAAGCCACTTGCAGCTCCGGCGAGTGGCGGCGCGTGTTGGCTGTTCCGGCAGCCTCCAAAGCCATATTTTTAGTCCAGTTGACTCGAGTTCTAGATCCGAGTCCAATGGTATATGTTTTGAGTCAATTTGAGGTGGTTCTAAGTATTTATTGTTGTGGGGCCCAAGAGTCGCAAATAGTAACTTTTGGTTAATGGGTGTAGTTGGCCTTGTTTTGGTGTTGACAGGGCATAGGACAGAGTTTAAGATTATTCTCAACGAGATTTGGCCGACTTGGACCCCGGGTTGGTCCTAGGGGCATTTTCGTCATTTTCACGCATAATCTTTGAAATGCATAAGGTTGAGGTTGGACCTAGGTGAAATAAAGTGAAGACTATTCAATAATAATTTGGATTTGAATTTGTTCCGGAATTGGATCAAAAGTGTAGATTCGACAACTCTGAGAATCTCCGAAGGGTAAATTTGGTACTTTAGCTAGCTGAACATGAGGTAGGGTTTCCTGATTTCCCGATGATTGGGCTATATCAATTTTCATCTTAGTGCTTATATGTAATACTATAAATATAAATATTATTGTTGCTTTGCTTGGTGATATTATTTGATGTTATGTGAAAATTATTATCGATGTTTCCAATGGATATTATTTTTTATGTTGGTTGAATATTATTATTCATGTGATTAAGCCTGATATAAATATTGTTGTTATTATCTGTATTATTATTCAGTAGAGATAAATGATGGTTGCGCTGCATTACATATGCATCATAAAGACAGTGATGTTTGGGGTGTGTGTGTGTGTGTGTGTATCGTTTGAGGTATATCTAAGGTGTGGTAGAAGGCCTTAGATATATTTGAGTAAATAAAAATGTGGAATGAATTCAAGTGATGGGAGCAGGGCTTGAATATATTGAGGTGATGGGAGCAGGGCCTCTAATGAAAAGTGAAAGTTGAGAAATTTGTAAACAAAAGAAAAATGGGTTAAGGGATGGATGAGCGCTAATTCATATTTTAGGGTGTTCGGAGCCACAGTGGTAAAACGCATGGTATGGGATATGTAGGCTTGTTGCCCTAAGGTATGAATTAGTGGGATTAGAATGGAGTGAGTTCATGGCATCACCGCATATGCAAATTTATTTACTTGGTCTGATTGCATAACTTATATATCTTGTGTTGTTTGATGCATAACACTTTGATTAACTATGATAGTTGACCTTGAGGGTTTTGACGGTACTCTACTGGGCATTCAAATGCTCATACCCTAATAGATTGTGCAGGATTCAAGGCGAAGTTTGAAGAAGGAGGTTTCAACCAAGCTACTAGGTTTTTGTAGTCGATTTGTGTAATTAACTTTTGTAAGTAGTCAACGATTTGATAAAGATCTTAGTGTGTATTTAACTACGAGTTACTGCGACTCTGATTCTGTGTTGTTAAGAAAATTTGTATTTATTTGTGGCTCTTTTTCTCATCATATCATGGTTGTATGATTTTATTCTTATGACTATGGTATGATTTTACATGTAATGTGTAATATAGATTATTAGATATTAGCTAGACAGATAATAGTGAGTAGCTGGTAACTAACATTAAACCACATTTATGGTTGTTATCTAGACTACATGTCAGAAATATGTTTGCTACAATCAATAGTTTTTAAGTGCTAACTAGTTAATAAGCTAATACGACAATTACTTGTTTGGATTCACTCCCCAATACTTCCCATTATCCGAATAGTTCATTTTCTTAAGTCATCACGGGAAGATCATCACTGGAAAAAACAATCCACTCAAATAGAAAAGTATTCAAATATGTCTAACTGAGACAACAGCAACAAAAAAGACACACTAGTTTTGGTAAAAAGGTGAATTGTACCCCTTTTTAAACAACATTAATGTAGAATATAATAAATTTTTCACCAACAGGGTCTAGTTTAATGAAAAAAGGTATTGAGTTACGAATAGTGGTCTCAAGAGACGGGATAATGGAGCTCTAGTCAACAGAATACTTGTCACATGGTGAACATTAAGATGAAACCTCCTTGAAGCTTCAAGCAGTTAGTGTGAAAACCATCTTAATTAATTATCTTAGGCATTCTCCAACTCATTTGGTCCTAAATCCAAATTTTTCCCTTCCACAAAGTAACTATTTTGGGTTTTGCCCAGACCAAAACCGTTTTTTCCCCCAACCCTTCATACTCAAATTTTTAGTCCGCAATTTTATTAAATTATTTAAGAATAGTTTAAGTCTATTTTTTTTTCCATGGATAAATTTTCTTCATTTAATCTTTTTAAATAATTTCATAATTTATTTTTTTGAACAATTTTACTTAAAAAATTGAAATTCCATAAATATAATTTTATTTGAGAAATAAGTGAGTATTTATAGAGTTTGGAGTGAGCTTTGGGGTTTGATATGATTTAAATTAATTTAAAATTTTATTTTAACCATTAGATAAATAAATATAATTGTTTTTTTTTTTGTTTTTTTTTTTTTTTTTTTTTTTTTTTTTTTTTTTTTTTTTTACCATTAACCATTAAATTTAATCTGAATCATTGATTTGGGTTAATGTTGAAATAAATAAATAAAACAGAGAAAAAAAAAAGAGGTACCACACCTACGCGCGACATCTTCTACAATATTTTCGCCTAATAGGATTTTGTTTCTCACAGCCCATAATATAGAGTGCTACTATTTCTACCCACCTGTCCTATTTTTCCACTCACCTTATCTTCCCACCCACTATGTAAATTTAAAAAAGAGTAATGCTACACTTACCACATTTATATCCCACATTTTCATACCACCTTATGTGGCAGATGAAGTGGACAATCACATCAATTAAAAAGTGTCAAAAAATCATAAAAGATAAGAAAACTTTAAATTAATTTTAATTGATGTGTTGTCCACCTCATCTGCCACATAAGGTGGTATGAGAATGTGATATACAAATGTGGTAAGAGTAGCATTATTCTTTAAAAAAACACAATCATATCTTTCCACCCACCATTATTCCTAAAATACCCTTTAATTATAATATTAAGAGTCTATTTCATATTTTTGCTTGATTTTATGTTTAGGTGTAATAAAATATTCATAGAATTTACAAAACCCAATTAAAAAATAAGAAATTTTTTAAAACAAAAACCCTTCCGCACCCTTCGTCGACCCCAATCCCTAGCCCCACTCCATTGCCCAATTCATCCCCAAAAACCCAAGCCTCGACACCACCACCGCCTCTGCGTCCACAGCTGACGAAGAATTTTAGGCTCTGCGAGAAGAGAACCGGCTACTGAGAAACTGTTGTGGATTCAATCAACTTCTTGACGCGAATCAAAGCTCTAAAGCAGGAATCTAAAATCAATTTCCTTTTAAGGTGGCCACAGGTATTTTAATTGTTCTAATTTTGCCAATATAATCATTAAAGCTTTGGGCTTTGATTAAAATACATGTTTGTTTTTTTAGGAAGTGTTTGGAGGCAGCTGAAATTCTCATCAATGTTGACCATGAAAAACCAAGTTGGTGGGTTTGGGTAATGGAAGATATGATTCCGAGCAAAGTTGAGGATATGAGTGGAATTGATAATGAAAGCTATGTTATTGTCAGTGGGTAAAGCTCCGGTTTCCCAATATTCATATGGTTCTTCTAGTTCGAATCACGAAAGCACTCAATTCCCACACAGAGAACCGAGGGGGAATGGATTGGGCTGGGGTACAGTACAGAGGTGGGTGCTTGGGGAAGTGCGGGAGATGGTTGCCGTGCGGTGGAGGAAGAGGGAGAAGGGTGGGGTATGCGTGTTGTGAGAGAAGGGGTTTGATATTTGTTAATAATCTTTTTAGTTTTTTTTAATAATCATTTTCTTATGTTTTTTAATTGGTTTTAATGATTTTCCCCTAAGCCCTTAGAAGTCATTTTATAAAGGGGTAAATTGGTTTTTAAAATTTACAAGATTAGGTAGGTGAGGAAATAGGACAAATGAGTGGAAATAGCAACACTCATAATATATTTTCGCGTTTATGATCCCATTAACATCCTTCGTGGGTTCATGTCCATACATTTGTGAGTGGGCATAACCTGGGATCCTCTGGTGGGTTGGTAGGACTTAAAGTTTCTCTATTATTTAATTGACCAAAGAAAAAGGTTCCTCTATTATTAAGAGCAACTCCACCCATTTGCCCTTTGCCATGGCAAGGGGGGGCTAGGGCAGCCACTATTCATGTGAATAGTAGTTGCCCTTGCAAAAAGCATTGTGTGTTTTCACCCGTTGCCATGGCAAAGGGCAAATACGATTTATTTGTTTGTTTTTTCCACAACTTTTTTACCTAAATAATTAATTTGGATAATATTTTCGGATAAGATTTTTGAGTTCGTACGTGTCAATATTTATTATAAAATTTATATCTCAATCAGATAAAATTTTCGGATAAGATGATAAATAAAAATACAATTTAAAAGTGAATAAAATGTTGAGTAAAAAGTGAATAATTGTAGAAGTAGAAGAAAATGTAAGAGGATTTAGTGTTGAAAGTGAAGAGTATTGGTAGGTATTTATAGAATCCAGAATTTTTTGGCATTTTTTTAAAAAAATTCCGAATTTTTTTCATGATTTTATAACCAAAAAAAGCCCAGCCGTTGGATTGGAGGAGAGCAAGCAATCGGAGCGCCTAAACGACGACACCCGTCTTATAGTTGTTGGTGGAGCGCAGGGCTGACGTCAGCGCATGCTGACGTCATCTCCCCCCTCGAGCTTGAACTCGGGCGATATTTGCCTTCGGGCCAGCCCGTCTTTGTGGGTCCCACCTCCAACCCGAGCAAAAGTGGCCCGCTGGAACTGGCTTTTTTGGCTTGGACTCCCCCCAGCCTCGGGCTTGGGCTCCTCGCTGGAGTTGCTCTAAGGTGTGATTATGATATCAGAAGGATGAGAAATTATTGAGACCTTAAAACAGATTGTTCTATCTGCATCCGCAGTATTTTTATTTTGGATGAAATCTGCATCCACAATATACATCAACAAAACACCTACACTAAAAAAAAATGCCAATAAGGTTTTTTTAAATATTATTTATAAATAAAAGATTTGTAGCTTAAGTGACTAAGCGTGTTTATCCTTATACTTGATGTAGTTTTATTCCCCTTACCGTAATATTGCCGGTATGAGAAAACAAATACGAAATTTTTAAAAGTGCAAAATATTTTCATATTCTCGTACACAAATTATCAATAGAGAGAAACAAAAAGTCACAAAACAAATCGAAATTTGCTCCGGAAAATAAGATTTTTTGAGTGTTTCTAAAGCCCCTCTCTGTTGTTTTGGTAGATACGAATTGATGAGCATGGTGAAGAAGCACTGAAGCTTATATTAGGGAAAACAGTAGTTGATGCAGTGCGATGATCTCTTTTGTTCTGTTTTAGAAGTTGAAGCTGTTGGATTAAAATTTGGTTTACTTGCTGCTAAACGTTTTAGTTTTTCTAATATAATTGTTGAAGGTGATTCACATTTTGTTAAGCTCTCCTCAAGATCCACCTTGGCGCGTTCAGACTAGACTTTATTCGGTTTGCCCAAGGTGGAAACAATAAGCAAACAAAGCCTAAAATGCAAGTGGAAACCATATTGGGTCAAAAGAATCATATGGACCCTAATACTGTCACCTATGCATATAAAGCTTAGCTCTCCTCTCTTATACACACATTACAAGCGCAAAAAACCCTACCCTAAATAGGCTTGCATAAGAAGTGTAGAGTAAGAATTTTGCACGCATTACAAGCACAAAAACTCAGCCTACATAGGCTTGCATAAGGAGTGTAGAGTAAGACTTTTGCTGTTTGCCTAGATGCATCAACGGCTTCTTAAAATAGGAAAATGGGGTTGTAATAGGACACTACTCTAAATTTATTTGGGTGAAAGTCGCGAACTAGTTCTAAGCCAGTTGACAGTGATACCCTAAACCCTAATATGTGAGGTACAAACCTTAATATGTGAGAGAAGGGTGCTAATATATGATGGTGACCATGGAACCGTGAAAAGATTATCCTCTCCAAGTGGGTTTTTTTTTATAAAATATATATAACTATTTTTCATGCCTTCTTTTCAAGGCCGATTTTGATAATTTGCGCCTTGATTAGTCAACAATACTTGGAAAAGATCGAGCAGGAGCATCAATATCTAATGTCCATGTTAAGCTTAATTAATTTACACGACAACTAATGATGCCAAAGAAGCTTTAGTTAGACCAATCTTAATCCGTCAAACTTAGGTTGTTTGTGCACTTGGATAATTATATCATATTTTTTTAGCTTATGATATATGTAATACACACCTTATTTCCAATTAATTTTTTAAGTCGAATCATTGGTTACTGCATCATGTTTTGTTGGATTTTCTAATTAATTCAATCATGGTATAAGAATATAGTTTATTCACGTGTTACGCTTTACGGCCACACATGCTTTCAAATTATGATACATGTGAAAAGACGTATCTCCATTATGATATGTGCTAGAAGACATTATGATAAAGTTGTTTACCATGAAAATGTCAAAGCCTTAGAATAGATTTTGAGAATGTGTGAATTGCAACCAGAATAGTTCTTCAATATTTTAGCAAAAGATGTAAACGTTAATCCTCTCAAATAAAATCTCTCCATAGAAAAAAAAAAAAAAAAAAAAAAAAAAAAAAAAAAAAAATAGTCAAATGTACTAGTATGTTTTAAAATAGACTCTCAATATCACCAAGGGAGTAATAAACTTCCTATTTTTTAGCTTTATCCACCAGTCTTCTACGATATTATTGATTTATTTATTCTCATTGGAAATACATTAAGAAATGGACATGTGCAAATTTTAAAGTTGTGTCTGATTATTTAATCAGATCATACTTATTTATTATATAATTAAAAAAAATTAACATGTGTAGGTTCCAAAAGGGTTGGTCACAAAAGCAAGAGAAGGATTGAAAAGGGGAACATACGTATATCAAAGAAAAGCCCACATGTTAGAGAAATTTTTATATGTTTCGAGTATACTATGTGATTGGTGTATTATCCAATACACATGGGTTATGTGAAAATATTTTATTTTTATGTCTTATGTGTATTAGAGAATATTTCCACATGACTCATGTGTATTACCAGTCACGAGACCAAAACATACAAAAATTACTCCACGTGTTGTGTTCAAGGAATACTTAGCAATTCAAAAGGGACTTCATGGTCTTTTTGTAGTCACGTGCACAAGAGCTCGTGCCTTGGGGTAGTACCTAGAGCAATTGCACTGCTTGCCCATGTCCAGGGCCGACACCAACAACTAGCTATGAGACATGGAAATAAGCTGACCCGGAACATTAAAAAAATTTGTAGCTTAAGTGACTAAGCGTGTTTATCCTTACACTTGATGTAGTTTTATTCCCCTTACCGTAATATTGCCGGTATGAGAAAACAAATACGAAATTTTTAAAAGTGCAAAATATTTTCATATTCTCGTACACAAATTATCAATAGAGAGAAACAAAAAGTCACAAAACAAATCGAAATTTGCTCCGGAAAATAAGATTTTTTGAGTGTTTCTAAAGCCCCTCTCTGTTGTTTTGGTAGATACGAATTGATGAGCATGGTGAAGAAGCACTGAAGCTTATATTAGGGAAAACAGTAGTTGATGCAGTGCGATGATCTCTTTTGTTCTGTTTTAGAAGTTGAAGCTGTTGGATTAAAATTTGGTTTACTTGCTGCTAAACGTTTTAGTTTTTCTAATATAATTGTTGAAGGTGATTCACATTTTGTTAAGCTCTCCTCAAGATCCACCTTGGCGCGTTCAGACTAGACTTTATTCGGTTTGCCCAAGGTGGAAACAATAAGCAAACAAAGCCTAAAATGCAAGTGGAAACCATATTGGGTCAAAAGAATCATATGGACCCTAATACTGTCACCTATGCATATAAAGCTTAGCTCTCCTCTCTTATACACACATTACAAGCGCAAAAAACCCTACCCTAAATAGGCTTGCATAAGAAGTGTAGAGTAAGACTTTTGCACACATTACAAGCACAAAAAACCCTACCATATTGGATCAAAAGGGTCATATGTGATAACAGTAATAGTTAGCTAAGAGTTTGTTAGTGTTGGCACGTGTGGCTCACATGTCACAGCTGTAATTAGTTAGTCTGTTAAGCATTAGTTATAGGCTAAACATCTGATATAAAAACAACATCTCTCTGTAATTGTGAATACGATTGAAAATCAAAGAAAGCAAATTCTCTCTTCTTCCCTGAGTTCTTCTTCAATATTCATCTTCTTCCTTCAGTCTCAATTCTTCTTCCTTACACTGTTATCATGGTATTAGTCACCATGACTCGATCCTGATTTTCTTTCTCTTCTCTGCTGCGTGATTTCTCCTCCTCTCTCTATTCTTGTTCTCTACACAATTTTCCCCAAATCCATTTTTTTTTCTTTCCCCAAATTCTTCTCAAACCCTAAATTCTTTGCTTGTGAGTTCTTCAATCTCATGGCGTTTTCTTCGTCTACCTCCTCTCTCAAGATTGAGAGTCTTCTCGGCATGCTTACCATACGCTTGAGCGATGACAACTATCTGAAGTGGAGCGATCAGCTTGAGTCAGTGTTACAAGGCTACGACCTCTTTGGATATCTTGATGGATCTGTGTTTGCTCCTCTGAAATTTGCGATTTTGGATGAGGAAGGTGTTACCTCTGAAGTCACCGCTGCTTACAAAGACTGGCTGCATACTGATAAAGCTCTCCTGAGTCTGCTGATTGCTTCTCTCTCCGATGAAGCTCTTCAGTATGTCATTGGAAGTCGCACTGCTCGTGAGGCCTGGCTTAATCTTACGGATCGCTATGCTTCAGTTTCTCGAGCACGTATCAATCACCTGAAGACTGAAATGCAGACAACGCAGAAGGGTGGTGACTCGATTGAACGATTCCTTCTGCGTTTGAAGCATATTCGTGATCAATTGCATTCTGCTGGTGTGAAGATTTCTGATGACGATTTTGTCATCGCTGCTCTCAAAGGTTTGCCGCAGGAATATGATATCATCAAAACGGTGTTAATTGCTCGGGATACTTCACTTTCTCTCAGAGACTTCCGCGCTCAACTTCTTGTTGCTGAGCAAACCGCTGAGGCCAGGGTTGTGACACATTCTGCAATGTTTACTTCTCAATCTGCTCCGAATTCACAATTTGTTCCTAGGTCTGCAAGCTATGGTCCTTCGTCTGGTCAAGGCTTGCTTCCTACACCGGTGCAGGGTTCGGTTGGCTATGTTGGCTCTAACACACGGTTTTCTGGTCCTTGTCCTAATTTCAACGGCAATTCTGGTCGTGGTGGTTTTGGTTCTAGTAAATTTGGTTCATCTCAATTCCGTCTTTCCTCTGCTGGATTTCGCAATGGTTTCTCTACCAAAAAATTTGCAGTTCCAGAGTGTCAAATTTGCAGTAAGCGTGGGCAAACTGCTGCTAATTGTTACCATCGCCATTCTTCTCCTAATCCTACTGCTTCTTCTGTGATAATTGAGTGTCAAATTTGTGGTAAGAAGGGGCATGGTGCTTTGGATTGTTACCACCGCTCCAATTATGCATTTCAAGGTCAATCTCCTCCTTCATCCTTGACTGCAATGACTGCTCAGACTACCTACAATCCTAATCAAGTATGGATAGCTGACAGTGGTGCTACACATCACATGGTCTCTACTCTCGATCATCTGAATAATGTGGCTGCTTGTGATTCTGCTGAGAATGTGACTGTTGGCAATGGGGAAGGTTTGCAAATCCGTCATATAGGAACTGCTAAGCTTTCTTCTTTAACTCTTCCATCCGTGTTTCATGTTCCACATCTCACGGCTAATCTCTTATCTGTGCATCAACTGTGTAAAGATAACAATTGCAATATTATCTTTGATGTTTCTGGATTTTATATACAGGACAAGCTCACCAAGAAAATTCTGCTCCAAGGCAAGAGTAGCCAGGGGCTTTATCCAATACCAGTGTCTCTGCAATCTTCAGTTTCTGTACCGTCTCCCATACAACAGTCTCAGCGGTCTGTGTCTCCGTCAGTTGCATTTCTTGGTCAGTAGGTTAAATCCTCCTTGTGGCATCACAGGTTGGGTCATCCAACTAATGAAGTGGTGAAGTATATGCTCAAAGCTTTTCAACTTCCCTATTGTGATGATTCTCAATTTTTCGTGTGTTCTGATTGTCTTCATGGCAAAATGCATAAACTTCCTTTTGCTACAGATCATGTAAAAGTTACCATTCCATTTCAGAAAATCCATAGTGATGTGTGGGGTCCCTCTAGGATGAAATCTGTTGATGGCTTTTGGTTTTATGTGATCTTTGTTGATGAGTGTATTGGCTATATGTGGTTGTATCCACTTTATAATAAATCAGAAGTTTATGCTACTTTTCTCAGGTTTCATGCCATGCTTGTTACTCAGTTTGCTGCTTCTGTCAAGTGTTTGCAAAGTGATGGGGGAGGGGAGTTTACTAGTAGGTTGTTCACTGATTATTTGGCTTCTAAGGGCATTGAACATCAATTATCCTGTCCATACACTCCTCAGCAAAATGGTTTAGCTGAGAGGAAGAATAGACATCTTATTAAAACCTCTATTACTCTTTTGACTGCTGCTCATCTTCCTAGTCAGTTTTGGTTTCATGCCGTTGCTCATGCTGCGTATTTGATTAATAGGATGCCTAGTAAAGGTTTGGATCTTCAGTCTCCCTATTATAGACTTTTTGGCTTGGTTCCTGATATCACACATGTTAAGGTGTTTGCCACTGCAATTTATCCATATTTGAGACCTTATACTGAGCATAAGCTTCAACCTCGCACAGCTCAGTGTGTTTTTCTTAGATATGCACCAGGTTATAAAGGTGTCATTTGTTATAATCCTTTCACAGGCAAATTGGTGATATCTAGGCATGTTATCCATGATGAAACTTGTCATCCTTTTAAGAGGCTTCCAGCATCTATTTCTTCGGTATTATCCATGCCCTCATAGTCTACTTCTATTCAGGTTCCACTTCTCATTCCTGTGACAACTTCTGCTACTCCTAATTCTGTACAAGGTGCTGATAATTTGGCATATGATCCTGCAGCCTCTGATCCTGCAGACACTAGTCCTTCCATTTCTCATGCGGTATCTCCTTCAGATTCTATAGCATCTGTTTTAAATGCTCATCAATTACAAGTCCTTGTGCCTGCCATTTCTGCATTTGATGTTAATTCATCTTCTGTCTCTGATATATCTGCACTTTCTGTTCCATCTAGTAATACACATCCTATGCAAACTCGGGCTAAGAATGGAATTAGCAAACTGAAACCTTTTTCAGATTATCAATGTTACCATACTACCATTCCTATTATTGCTGCAGATGATGAACCTTCTTCTTATCGCATAGCTGCTCAATCTCTTGCTTGGGTTAAAGCAATGCATGAAGAACTTGAAGCATTACAAATGTAGGGAACTTGGTCTCTAGTGCCATGTCCTTCCCGGAAAAATATAGTTGGAAGTAAATGGATCTACAAAATCAAGCGCAATGCCGATGGTTCAATTGCAAGGTATAAAGCTCGTTTAGTGGCACAAGGATTCAGCCAACAACAGGGTCTGGATTTTAGTGAAAATTTCAGCCCAGTTGTCAGACATACAACTGTGAGACTGATACTTAGTTTGGCAGCCATGAATAAGTGGAGTTTGCGCCAGTTAGATGTTAAGAACGCATTTTTACATGGTGATCTGGAAGAGGAAGTTTACATGCGGCAGCCTCCAGGTTTTGAAGATTCCTAGCATCCAGAGTTTGTGTGTAGGTTGGCCAAGTCCCTCTATGGCCTTAAACAGGCACCAAGGGCTTGGAATGCCAAGTTTACAGGTTATCTTCCAGCCTTAGGCTTTAAGTCCTCCCATTTTGACCCAAGCCTGTTTGTCAAGCATGAAGGTTCTGATATTGTGATTTTACTACTGTATGTAGATGATATTATTTTGACTAGTTCAAGTCCTCAGTTGGTTCAAACAGTTATTGATGATTTAGGAGTTGTATTTGACATGAAAGACATGGGCAGACTTGCTTATTTTTTAGGTCTTCAGGTGTCTTATGATTCCACAGGAGGTATCTTTGTTCATCAAACCAAGTATGCTCAGGAGTTGTTAAATAAAGCAGGGATGACCAATTGTAAAGCTTGTCCAACTCCTTGCAAGCCACATAATCAGGTATTAAGAACAGAGGGGCAGCCATTAACTGATCCAACTTTGTATCAGAGTCTTGTAGGTGCCTTACAGTATTTGACATTCACAATGCCTGACTTGTCATATTCTGTCAATACTGTTTGTCAGTATATGACTACACCTACAGAAGCACATTTTGATTTGGTCAAACGTATATTAAGGTATATTCAAGGTACCATACAGTATGGCATTCACTTCACTACAGGCCCTTGGCATCTGCAAGCCTACAGTGATGCAGACTGGGCTGGAGACTTGAATGCACGCAGGTCTACCACAGGATTTGTGATATTTCTTGGAAATAATCCTATTTCTTGGCAGTCTAAAAAGCAGGGATCTGTGTCTAGAAGTTCGACTGAAGCAGAGTATAGGGCATTGGCCAATACAGCTGTAGATTTAGCTTGGATTCGACAGGTCTTGTTGGATTTGAAAGTATGCTTACCTGAGCCTCCTACAATTTCATGTGATAATTTGTCTGCTTTGTCTCTTAGTTCTAATCCTATATATCACTCACGCATCAAGCACCTCGACATTGATTTCCATTTCGTGCGCGAAAGGGTGCAAAGGAATGATCTTACTGTCCAGTATATTCCTATTGAAGAACAACTAGCTGATGTCTTTACTAAAGGACTGTTTTCTTGAGTCATTGTGCAAACATGAGGCTGGGCAACCTAGAGCTGGGTTTGAGGGGGAATGATAACAGTAATAGTTAGCTAAGAGTTTGTTAGTGTTGGCACGTGTGGCTCACATGTCACAGCTGTAATTAGTTAGTCTGTTAAGCATTAGTTATAGGCTAAACATCTGATATAAAAACAACATCTCTCTGTAATTGTGAATATGATTGAAAATCAAAGAAAGCAAATTCTCTCTTCTTCCCTGAGTTCTTCTTCAATATTCATCTTCTTCCTTCAGTCTCAATTCTTCTTCCTTATATTGTTATCAATATGGGCCCTAATACTGTCACCTATACATATGGATGAGTAAGGGAGTGTTTGGTATCCTATTCAAATAGGGAACTCAAAAACTTTTTGATTGAATTTTTTTTTTTTTTTTTTTTTTTTTTTTTTTTTTTTTTAAATCTATTTTTAAGATTCAAAAAATTAGTTAAAAAAATAAAATAAACTTGTTTAGTAAACTTGTTTTCAAAACTTAAAATTTTGACTTTAAATTTGTGGTTGTTAGAAAAAAATTGAAAGAACAGATATTTTTTGTTTTTAATCATTGGGGTGTTTTTTTAATTATTCTTGAGTTTGAGTTTTTGAAAATAGGGCTACCAAACAGGGTTTCTTTGTTTTGGACTCAAATTCTATTTTTGAGTTTAAAAAGTTGGATTCAAGTTGAATACCAAATAGGCCCTAAGACTTTTGCACACTTACAAGCACATACATAGGCTTGCATAAGGAGTGTAGAGTAAGACTTTGCTCTTTGCCTAGATGCATCAACGGCTTCTTAAAATTGGAAAATGGGGTTGTTAGCACCACTCTAAATTTATTTGGGCGAGAGTTGCGAACTAGTTCTAAGCTATAATCATTCACCAATTATTCATCAAACTAAGCCAGTTGACAGTGATTCCCTAAACCCTAATATGTGAGAGAAGGGTGCTAATATATGATGGTGACCTTCCTACATAATTTGGGTAAGCCATTCCTGCATTGCATGGTTTATGCACCGACGCTCATGGAACCGTGAAAAGATTATCCTCTCCAAGGCCCATTTTGATAATTTGCATATCGTTATATTAATAATCTTCAGAATTGCGCCTTGATTAGTCAACAATACTTGGAAAAGATCGACCAGGAGCATCAATATCTAAGTCCATGTTAAGCTTAATTAATGTACACGACAACCAATGATGCCAAAGATGCTTTAGTTAGAGGAATCTTAATCCGTCAAACTTAGGTTGTTTGTGCACTTGGATAATTATATCATATTTTTAGCTTATGATATATGTAATACACACCTTATTTCCAATTATTTTTTTAAGTCGAATAATTGGTTATTGGATCGTGTTTGTTGGATTTTTAATTAATTCAATCATGGTATAAGAATATAGTTTATTCACGTTTTACGCTTTACGGCCACACATGCTTTCAAATTATGATACATGTGAGAAGACGTATCTCCATTATGATATGTGCTAGAAGACATTATGATAAAGTTGTTTACCATGAAAATGTCAAAGCCTTAGAATAGATTTTGAGAATGTGTGAATTGCAACCAGAATAGTTCTTCAATATTTTAGCAAAAGATGTAAACGTTAATTCCTCTAAAATAAAATCTCTCCATCGTTTGAAAAAAAAATATAAAAAATTAGTATATGTCAAATTACTAGTATGTTTTAAAATAGACTCTCAATATCACCAAGGGAGTAATAAACTTCGTATTTTTTAGCTTTATCAACCAGTCTTCTACGATATTATTGATTTATTTATTCTCATTGGAAATACATTAAGAAATGGACATGTGCAAATTTTAAAGTTGTGTCTGATTATTTAATCAGATCATACTTATTTATTATATGATTTACAAAAATTAACATGTGTAGGTTCCAAAAGGGTTGGTCACAAAAGCAAGAGAAGGATTGAAAAGGGGAACATACGTATATCAAAGAAAAGCCCACATGTTAGAGAAATTTTTATATGTTTCGAGTATACCATGTGATTGGTGTATTATCCAATACACATGGGTTATGTGAAAATATTTTATTTTTATGTCCTATGTGTATTGGAGAATATTTCCACATGACCCATGTGTATTGGATGGTACACACTAATCACGAGATGAACCGAAACATACAAAAATTACTCCACGTGTTGTGTTCAAGGAATACTTAGCAATTCAAAAGGAACTTCATGGTCTTTTTGAGGTCACGTGCACAAGAGCTGGTGCCTGGAGGTAGTGGGCTCAGAGCATTCGCACTGCCTGCAACTGTCCGGGGCCGACACCAACAACTAGCTATGAGACATGGAAATAAGCTGACCCGGAACATAAAAAAAATTTCATGGCCACGTGAACCAAAGTTTGTCTTAAAATGCGATAAGGAAAACAAAGGAAAAAGAAGCAGATGCTTTGTGCTAGAATGCATATATAGTGTTAAAAGCTTCCTGCAAGAATTATGTAAAGAAAACATGGGCCTCATTTTAGTTGCCTTGCAGCATATATTTAATGGGAATGAGAAACTGCCCATGGAGAAGAATATGTTCTTCTCAACTTTGCTAGGATTTGAAAGGTTTACTTATTTGTTGATGGTTTTCATTTGCTAGGGTTCCACAACTTGAACACCCTAATATATGATGGTGACTTATCAGAGTTATTACAGACTTAGTTAGCTAACTAATCTTTAACATAATGACTTAACTAACTCTCTCAGATTATAACACTTGTCACAATCTGAGGAATCTTATACTCTAATAAACTTTACACTTTAGCGAATGGACTTTAAAAAAACATCTTGATTGTACTTCTAAATGGGAAATTAGTAACACAGTAAGAACCAATTCAAAGATAACAAGCTAGCTGGTGACTTTTTTTCTCCAATATTGGGCTCTTCAAGTGTTTTCACATATATATATATATATATATATATATATAGTTGTCAGAGTGTGCAAAGGTAAGAATCAGAAACGATGAATTCCGAGAGAGAGAGAGAGAGATATATATATATATATATATATATATAAAGTATTTTTCATGCCTCCTTTTCAAGGCTGATTTTGATAATTTGCATATCGTTATATTAATAATCTTCAGAATTGCGCCTTGATTAGTCAACAATACTTGGAAAAGATCGACCAGGAGCATCAATATCTAATGTCCATGTTAAGCTTAATTAATGTACACGACAACCAATGATGCCAAAGATGCTTTAGTTAGAGGAATCTTAATCCGTCAAACTTAGGTTGTTTGTGCACTTGGATAATTATATCATATTTTTTTAGCTTATGATATATGTAATACACACCTTATTTCCAATTATTTTTTTAAGTCGAATCATTGGTTACTGGATGGTGTTTGTTGGATTTTCTAATTAATTCAATCATGGTATAAGAATATAGGTTATTCACATGTTACGTCTTACGGCCACACATACTTTCACATTATGATACATGTGAAAAGACGTATCTCCATTATGATATGTGCTAGAAGACATTATGATAAAGTTGCTTACCATGAAAAAGTCAAAGCCTTAGAATAGGCTTTGAGAATGTGTCAATTGCGACCATAATAGTTCTTCGGCTAAATTGTAGCAATGGTCCCTGGACTAAGATCAAACTTTACTTTTCGTCCCTCATGTTACTAAATTGTTACGATGGTACTTTAATTATGCCTATACTTTTAGAAATCATCTTTTCTGTCAGCTCAATCAACTTTTCCGTTAAAAATGATGACATGGCATGGACAAGTCCTACTTGGCATGGGCAAAAATGTATTTTCGTACAAAATTTTAAAAAATAAATCTCTCAATCCCAATTTCTTCTCCCACCCGATAACCCACATCAGACCCCACCAATTTCTCCTTTAGATGTGGAATCTTGGCTCCAAGTCTCTCTCCCCCCGCACCCATCTTTTTGATGAGATAACACACATCAGACCCAAATCCTCCAACAAAACCAAACAACAAAGGAAAGACAAGAAATTTAAATAATAAAAAAGCCTCCGTGGATGAATTTTTTTCTCTTTCCTGTAGTTGCGCTGGGGTTCTGTAGTTGTTGGGGGTTCTGGGTTCATGGGGGTAGGTGGTGGTCATGGGGAATTTGGGAGGGGGGGGAGAGAGAGAGAGAGAGAGAGAGAGTTTTTTTTATTATTTTTTTATTTTAACATTTTAATCAATTTAAAATTAATGAAAAGAAAAATATGCCCTCATTTTTAACGGAAAGGACGATTTCTGAAAGTGGAGGCATAATTAAAGTATCACCGTAACAATTTAGCAATATGAGAGACGGAAAGTAAAGTTTGGTCTTAGTCCAGGAACCATTACTATAATTTTGCCTAATTCTTCAGTATTTAAGCAAAAGATGTAAATGTTAATCCTTTAAAATAAAATCTGTCCATCATTTGAAAAAAAAAATAGTATATGTCAAATTACTAGTATGTTTTAATAAAGGCGTAATTCACCGGCCATGTATTGACTAATCAACCAGTCGTCTATAACTTTATTTATTTATTTATTTAGCTTTATCAACCAGTCTTCTATGACATTAAGAAATGGACGTGCAAATTTTAAAGTTGTGTCTGATTATTTAATCAGATCATACTTATTTATTATATGATTAAGAAAATTAATTTGTGTTGGTTCCAAAAGAGCAAGAGAAGGATTGAACAAGGGAAACATATGTATATCAAAGACAAGCCCACATGTTTGGAGAAATTTTTATATGTTCCGAGTACACCACGTGGTTGGTGTACCATCCAATACACATGGCCATGTGAAAATATTTTATTTTATATCCTATGTGTATTGGAGAATATTTCCACATAACCCATGTGTATTGGATGGTACACCACTCATGTGGTGACCAGGAACATACAAAAATTATTCAACATGTTGTGTTCAAGGAATACTTCGGAATTTGAAAGGGACTTCATGGTCTTTTTGAGGTCACGTGCACAAGAACTAGTGCCTAAGGGTTGAATGGTCCTCACAATCATCTACTACATTAAGAGCCAAGAGCATTTTTGCTCACCACTTTAACTTAAGGTATATCTTCACCACCCTTTTCAACGAGAAAAACCCCGTGCCAGGGTAAGCAATCCAGCTAAATATCCCTGCCCAATGACCTCTCAACAGTTGTCACCCACTAATTTTTATTTTTATTTTTTAAATTTAATTTGTTGCCTTTGCTCTTCCATCCTATGCAAATTTTGTTCAAGCCCTTCTCATCACGACCGTCGCTCCTCGCCACATTCGTCAGCATCGGCGTCAAATTCGACACCTCCATCCTCCATCCTTTTTATCCCCATCCCCTCCTCCATCATTGGTGTTATCTATCTCTTCTCATCTCTGTCTCATCTCTCCCTCTTGTTCTCTCTCTTCAATCCAACAATAGTGGAAGCGGCGGTGAGCTTGCCAAACTCCAAATTTGAGGTGACTGACATCAAATTTTGAGGCCAATCTCTCCCTTTCTTTATATCTCTTCTTGGCGGCCTCCGATGTGGCTGATGCAAAGTGGGAGAAAGATGATGAAACGAGGGTGCATCACCACTCAAAATCAAGCCCAAAGGCTGCTCAATGCACTCTTAAACTTTTTCATCATTCTCATCATGTAGGTCGTAGTTTTTAATGTTTTTTTTTAAGGATTTTGAGCATTTAGAGTAGAAAAGCTTAGAAGGACGCCTTTGTTAACAGTCCCGCTCGGCCCGATTGATTAATTGTCCATTTTGCATTATAAGGCATATGTGGGTTAGGTTAGTTTCCCAGCACATTGAGCCCACCCCTTACACCTAAGTTTGAATCCCTCTACCTCTAGCAATTATAAGTATCAAAATTGTAGCTTGATTAGTCAATCATAAGGAAATAGAGAGTAGAGACAGCACTTCCATAAATTTTTTCATTCAAGAGAAGTGATATTTTAACAAGGAATCTTATTGTCAAATGATGCCAAAGATGTGTTAGTTACGTAGGAATCTTAGTACTCATAGCCTAGGATATATAAAGTCTGTGACTTATATGGAGCCCTACGTAATAAGTTGCACTATTTGAGAACTAAAGTCACCTCTCAATAATTAGGGTGTTTAAATTTGTGCACTTTGCTAATCATATTATATTTTTCTTTAGCTTATGACGTGCTTAATCCCACGTCACCTGTCTTAGATCATGAAAATACCTATAGGATGGCTTAAAACACTAAAAGAGTAAAGTCTGTGTTTTGAGTAGTCAAGAGTAATACAGTAACATATAAAAACACGCCAAAGGGATTGATACAATGTATCAATCCTCTACAGTACAAAACGTAAAAAAGATAAAAACACAGAAGTTATTTTACGTGGTAAAACCCCACCTTTGGGGAAAATCCACGGGACCTGATAGTCTAAGGCAAATCCACAATAGAACGATGATTACAAGAAGTATACAAACTTGTCCTAGACACTCTAGACAACGTACCAATTTCTTCGTAACTCAACTTCTCGCGGGATGATTTTTCGACACTCCTTAAGTTGAACGCAATATTGGTCACGATTGCTTCAAGTTCGCCGGAGTTCTTCCAACTCTCCTTATGTTGAATGATACTTTTGATCCGATACTGGTCACGATCGATTCAAACTCGTCGGAGAAAAACCGCCACAACGGTCTTGGTGCCCTCAACCGTATGAGTCACCGAACATGCAAATGAATGCAATATGAATACAAAGATAAATCACCAAGATAATCTTACTCTTGATAATTTATCCTTCTGGAAAATAAAGCACAACAACTTTCTTTTGTGTATATGAAAACTCAAGAAATACTCTAGTCGTTGAAAGTTGTTGAACAAATGAAAACCAAGCCTTGCTTTTTATAAGGGTTTTCAAAATTGGAAACAAGATCAATTACTTCCTAATCAACATATTAATTTTCCAAAATCAGACTAATTTATTTCCAATCAAAGAAGAGTTTTAATGTTCAAAACTGGAAAGCAATTTATAAAATAAATTAATCTTTCTTAAAATAAAAGTCTTCTTAATCAAAATGTTAATCAGATTGTGAGTCTGAAATAATGCTTGAAATACCACAATCAGGATGCATGATTGAATGAAGAATTTACCTTAGTGATTGTTGGTTGACATATAAGCCTTCAGAGCATATCTTGGAATTTTGACAGCCACCATCACAACTAATTTACCATCTATACTTGGTCTAATTTGTCTCTAGGAAATGCCAATCACAAATCAATACTAACAGATCATACACCTGTAAACATTTCAAGTTGTTGGTTTGAAAGTTAGATAACTACCGAACTTTTAAAAAGTCTCGGCATTTGGCTATAAATATGTGGGTCTTCTAGCAGAATTGGTACCAAGAGGGAGAGAAGTATTATTTGAGAACACAAAAATGAAGGTAGAGCAAGTCCTACACATGAATGGAGGAGTTGAGAAAACAAGCTATGCAAACAATTCCCTACTTCAAGTTAGTCACCCTCTCTCTCTCTCTCTCTCTCTCTCTCTCTATATATATATATATATATATATCCACCACTTAAAGAACATGGTTTTCGAAAATTATTTTGATAGTTATAAGTTATAACCAAAATTATGCACCAAAAAAAATCTGGTAGAGAGGAGGGAATTATGCAATATTCATGCTTCCTTCAACCTCGTTTATTTTTTTCTTCAGAGAGCAGTGATTTCAATGGTGAAGCCCATAGTTGGTGCAAGCATAGAGGAGCTGTGTTGCACTCTCTTCCCAGAGTGTTTGACAGTAGCGGACTTGGGATGCTCTTCAGGACCCAACACCCTCTTGGTGGTATCAGATATCATAGACAGCATCCACACAACTTACCAAAAACTCAACCGCCCACCTCCATCACTCCAAGCCTTCTTGAATGATCTTCCTGGAAACGATTTCAACACGGTGTTCAGGTCATTGCCAAGCTTCTATAAGAAACTTGATGAAGAACATGAGAAGAAGTTTGGGTCATGTTTTATTGCAGGAATGCCTGGTTCTTTCTATGGCAGGCTCTTCCCCAACAATTCTCTCCACTTTGTTCACTCTTCTTATGCTCTCCACTGGATCTCTGAGGTTTCTTTTTTTTTTCTTTTTCTTCCTGTATTTTTTCCTTTTTAATCAATCCTTGTGTCCTTATTATACTGTTTACTTCTTAATCAATCCCTGGATCTCTGAGGTAAGAGAATAATATTTAAATCGTGTCTGATAATTTATAATGCAACAACGTGTGTGTGTACGTAGGTTCCAAAAGGCTTGGTGACCGAAGAAGGAGAGGGGCTTAACAAGGGGAACATATATATAGCAAAGACAAGCCCTCCAGCTGTGTTTAAGCAATACTTGGAGCAATTCAAAAGGGACTTCACGGTCTTTTTGAGGTCACGTGCCGAAGAGCTCGTCCCTGGGGGCAGTATGGTCCTCACAACCCTGGGCAGCAGTAAGAGTGACGATCCCCACTGCATTTGGGAATTTGTAGGAATGAAACTCAATGACATGGTTTTAGAGGTAATTAATTATTAGATTCTAGCAAGTAGGGCTGCAATATATTTCCTTTTTAGCTATTTAGAAATGTATATTTCGATGAATTATCAGGGTTTGATTGGTGAGGAAAAATTGGACGCATTCAATATGCCATTCTATACACCTACAACGAAGGAGATAGAAGAGGTGATCCAGGCTGAAGGATCATTTACTTTGCAAAACCTTGAAGTTTTCAAAAATGATTGGGACTCTTATATAAAGCAAGCTAATAGTGGCCTTGATAAGAAGACAAGGGCTGCAATATTTGCCACTCACATAAGGGCTGTGGCAGAGCCGATTCTGGTGATCCAATTCGGAGAAGAAGCTATGGACGATTTGTTTCGTAGGTTTGAAGATGTTCTTGATCACATGGAAAGGGAGAACCGCCAGTACATTATCCTGGTTATCTCGTTGACAAAGAAGCGTTGGTGAGATGAATATGCAAGAAATGGGGCAACAAGTTTATATTTGCTTTGTTTATCTTTGTACTTTTCAGGTCTTGGACTTCAGTTATTGTTAAGAATAAATTTGTTTACATTTGGTCATCTTTGTGTGATAGAAGTTGAGGTTCCACCCCAAAATCAATTGGCAATGGAGGGAGTAGCTAAACTCCTTATATAAGCCCTTGCTAGATTTCTTAATTTTCTAATGTGGAACATTTTTCACCTTCACATTCTCACATTGTGCCATTCATACTTTGATTTAAAAATGCATTAAAGGAAAATGTGGAAGTGAAGTTCTTCAGAAAATTTTCAGTTTAGTTTCTATATTTGATTCGTAAAAAACCCAAAACCCAAACTAGCTATCCAAACTCAAATTTAAGACCCTTGAAAAAGAAGTTCATGTTCGAGATTGTTAATTAATTTTTGTTTTTTTTTGTTGATTAGAATCACACCCATTAGAGTAATTTAAATGCAGCATAAGAAGTTCATTTCAACTAAGTTTTTATCCACTTGCAGTAGTTAACAAATCAAGTCCAATGCCACAATTCCAACTAAGTTCATTTCAGCATAAGAAGTTCGTTTCAACCAAGTTTTTGTGGTCAGAAGCAGAGCCACCTTTGACCCACCAAAAAAAAAAAAAAAAAAAAAGCCATAGCCGTGGTTTTGCAGCAAACTTTCATTATTTCCCATGAAACTGTAGATTAAATCACAATGCAAGTCAAAGTGTGCTAACTTTCTTGGAATATAATTTGGGCACACTGACCAAACTTCAACCCCCTTTTTTTTTTTTGGTGAAGGGCACTTTCATTCCAACTGAAATAGAAGTACAACAGAGAGCAAGGCTACCAACAGCCAAAAACATAAAACAGCAAGGCTACCAACAGCTAGAGAAAAAAGGAAGGCTATCAACAGCCACAGCAGGAAAAAAGATGAATCAAGCTACAGAAAAATTATAACAATTTTGTTATAGGCCCAAAACTATGACACCTCCCAATGGTGAGCGTTTCAGCCTCTTAACAGCCAGAACTCACATCGTAGGTGGACATGCGAGCCCAACAGCTTGCAACACAAAGACCAGAGAGGATGAGAGGCTGGATTCCCAAACCTTATCACACATCCTCCTTCTTGCTCGACGAGCTGCAGCATTTGCTGCTTTGTTTGCTCCACGGTGAACCCAGTTCCAAGAGAACTTACTGTAACTTCTTCGACTTGCTGCTAGAATGGGGAAAATAGTCCATCTACCCTTCTGAATTTGGCCTTTGACACACTGGACCAATTCCTTGGAATCAGATTCAAAAATCACATGTGATATCCCCATTTGAGCAGCCAAATGCACTCCACTCAAAGCTGCGTGAGCCTCCGCCTTAATAGCCGACGACGCCGGTCTGGTACCACATCTACCTCCCAAAAGCACAGCATTCGAATTGCGAACCACCACACCCAATCATGCCTGCTTCGAACCTCCCTCCCAAGAAGCATCAACATTTACTTTACAATAAGCATGGGGAGGAGCAGACCACCTTGCCTCTGCCGCCCCAACCACATCATCATTATCATTCATATTCACAACACACTCACTTTGCACTTGCATAAACTCGCTAATCATAGACTCGACTGCACTCAAAGTCTTCCGCAAACACACCTGAACACCCTCAAAGACAACAGCGCATTGACACTTTTCCAAATGCTGCAACAAGTACAGACAATTTGCACCATGAACCAGAGCAAGGTCCCGTTCAGCCACTCTCCTATTGTTCTAATGCTCCTCAGTTTCAGGAAACTCTCCACACAAAGGCCAGAGAGGAGAGGAACCAAGGAAATTTTTATTAATAGCATCACAAGCCGTTAAGCAACCCTTGCTGATTCTCCACAAGAAATTTTTTATTTTTGCGCACCAACTTCAATTCCATATCGACTTCCACACAGTTTTATCATTACCCAAGATCCAGAAGGTCTATTGGTTTGAGAACTAAGAGAAGCAGAGATGAGTAAATTATCCCCAGATTTTACAGTAAATCTTCCATCACGATTGAAAGGCCCCACCATTCTGTCAGCTTCGTTCCCATCTCCTAAAGGCATAGCTTTAATCAAACAAGCATCCATGACATCAACTTGTCTATCAATAGCATTCTCGTTCCAGACACAGGTGGTTGTGTTTATACTTGTTTCAACCTTTTCATCCACATTTACCTCCACACCTGGCTTTGGCATTAAAAGGTGATCAAGGGAGCTGGGAATCCACTTGTCAGTCCACAATTTAATCCGACTTCCATCTAATACTTGCCGACAAGTGCTGCTTAGGATGACGCCCCTACCTACATAAACTATTTCCTTCATTGTTTTCCACAATTGATATTACCAGTTTTCGTTGTGAGGTTTGTGAACTCGCAAAAAGTCATTATACTTCTTTTCCATCCACTACCTCTAAAAGTTCATTTCCATTTATGATTATTCATTCCGATGTTTGAGGTCCATCTCAAGTTACTACATTAGGTAGAGCACGTTGGTTTGTTACATTTATTTATGATTGTAGCAGGATGACTTAGGTATGCCTGATGAAGTCCAAAGGAGAAGTGAACTTGCTATTTCATAAATTCCTTGCGATGATTCGTACTCAATACAAAGCACAAGTTCAGGTCCTCCGTAGTGATAATGGGGGAGAATATCTGAGTTCTGACATTCAGCAATACTTAGCAACACATGGAATTGTTCATCAAACTACTTGTCCCTCCACACCTCAACAGAATAGGGTGTCAGAAAGGAAGAATCGTCACTTGTTGGAAGTTGTTCGTGCTTCTTTGATCGAAGCCCATATGCCTCTCTTCTATTGGGGTGAAGCACTTGCCTCTACAGCTTTCTTAATTAATCGTATTCCCTCCAGTATTGTGAAGTTCCAAACTCCATCTCAAGCTCTAACAAAAGCAGTTCTTGCCTCAGCTGTCCCCAACTTACCACATCATGTCTTTTGGTTGTGTGGCATTTGTACACCTCCACAAACATCAACGCAGTAAGTTAACTCCTTGTGCATGGTGATGTGTATTTCTGGGATACGCATCTCACCATAAGGATACCGATGTTACCATCCTCCTACTTCAAAGATGTATGTTACATTGGATGTTGTTTTTCATAAAGATACCATGTATTTTTCCTCTACATTTGATCTTCAGGGAGAGTACGAATAGGAATTTTAGACTCTTGATTATGGTGTTTGTGTTTATGAGATTTGGGAAATTCCTGAACTTATAAACCAAAATGTGAGTGGCTTGGATACAAGTGATATGTACTTGAATGAAAGTGGTGATGAACGCTCACATAGATCTATGAATCAAGATGAGAGTGTTTTGGATACAAGTGGTATAAACTTGGATGCAAATGGTGATGAACACCCTCCAAATTTAGAAACTGAACCAACAGGATTGACTTCATAATCAATCCCATTGATTGAATCCCTCCCACCACAAATGTCTAATGCACCAAACCAATTGCTCGTTGAGGACGTTCTGGAGTCGATGCCTAAACCCCCAGGAAAGCAGAATCCTCCCTATAGCAATAGGGGTATTCCTAAACCCACATATGAACCTGATCTTACAAGTAAGGTCTAGTACCCCATGAGCTATTATGTGCCAAGTCATTGTCTGTCTGAATCAAATAAGGCATTTGTGAATCAATTATCTATTGTATCTATTCCTAACAGTGTGCAGGAAGTCTTAGCCGACCCAACGTGGAAAGCATCTATGAATGAGGAGATGGAGTCACTGCTGAAGAAAAAAACTTTGGAACTTGTAAACCTCTCAACAGGAAAGAAACCTGTTAGGTGTCGATGGGTTTACATTGTGAAATACAAAGCAAATGGTACTATTGAACGCTTAAAGGCAAGATTGGTAGCGAAGGGGTATACCCAAACATATGGGATCGATTATATGGAGACATTTGCACCGGTACCTAAAATCAACACAATTCAAGTTTTGTTATCTCTGGATGCGAATTTGGACTGGCCATTACAACAGTTCAATGTGAAGAACACTTTGTTACATGGAGATTTACTAGAAGAAGTCTACATGGATCTCCCCCCAAATGTCTAATACCAGGAATGCATCGTGGGAAGGTGTGCAGGTTGAAGAAGCCATTGTATGGCTTAAAACAATCTCCTTAAGTTTGGTTTGGAAGATTTGTGAAGTCTATGATAGCTTTTGGCTATTGTTAGAGCAACTCATACCACACCTTGTTTTTAAAGAGATAATAGGATAAAATCACTACACCTATTGTATATGTGGATGATATGGTGGTTACAAGGAATGATCCTGATGAAAGGAAGGCATTGAAGAGTTATTTATCCAAGGAGTTTGAAATGAAAGATCTTAGTCCTTTGAAATATTTTTTTTGGATTGAAGTATCTCGATCTGCGAAAGGAATCTTTCTATCCCAAAGAAAATATGCCTTAGATTTATTGCAAGAAACTAGCATGTCAGCGTGTCAACCAGCTGATACTCCAGTGGAGGAAGGATTATTGAAGTTGTGTATTGATCATGATCAAGTGCCTGCTAATAAAGGAAGATACCAGAGTCTTGTATGGAGATTAATGTACTTGGAATACACAAGGTCGGACATTGCTTATGTTTTGAGTATTGTTAGCCAATTTATGCATAATCTTGGAGAACAACACATGAGTGCAGTAATGCGAATTTTGGGGTATGCTTCTGGAAAAGGAATTCAATAGATGACCGTCGATCCACTTCTGGTTATTTCACCTTTGTAGGAGGTAATCTTGTTACATGGAGAAATAAGAAGCAGAATGTTGTTGCACGCTCAAGTGCAGAAGCTAGTATCGAGGTATGTCACTTGGGATTTGTGAAGTGTTATGGCTAAGACTACTCTTGCAAGATTTGGGGTATTCGTCAAGACAGTCGATTCGATTGTATTGTGACAACAAGGCCGCGTGTGATATCACTCACAATCCAGTTCAACATGATAGAACAAAACACATGGAGGTTGACAGATTTTTTATCAAGAAGAAATTGGAAGCAAAGATTATAGATTTGCCCAAGATTCGATCATAAGATTAGTTAGCTGATGTCCTTACTAAAGCAGTATCAAATAAGTTGTTTTCAAAATTTGTTGGCAAGTCAGGCATGTGTGATATCTATGCACCAACTTAAGGGGGAGTATTGTAATAATTATGTAATTAGTAGTTAATTAGGATTTAAAAAGTCTAATTTACCCTTAGTAGTATATATGCCTTGTTGATGAATAAAAGATTAAAGTATTATTCCCAAAAACCTCTGAATTTCAACTCTATCTTCTTCCAACCTCCATGGCATTCCCTGTTGACATAAGGTTCAAAGGAATCCCATGAACCTGGATCTAGGAAGCCACCATGTGTGTTGGAGCCTCCTCAATTGCCAGAGAAGTAGAAGCCCATAACAGACTGTTAAAATTAATGCACAATTGTATCTTGAATAATATAGAATAATCTAGAAATATTGAGAGAAGTTGACAAGTTAAAGTCACTAGAAACATCCTACTAATTATATAATGTATTATAACTAGAGAAATCTAGAATTAGAAGACAACTTGTGGCTGAAAATGACTTTGGAAAGTTTGGTTACTATGCAACCGGCTTGTCCAAAGCAAAGTTGCCGACTTAGTTTCTCTATAAATAAGCCTATAGCCTCTCAAAGTAATAAGGCTAAAAAACTACAGCAATCCAACTCTAGCCATCAGCCAACTCAAATATTAAAGCCTTGTACCTTTCCTATTTCAATCAATAGAATAAAATTATTTTGTTACTCTTTCAAAGGTTTTCCTTTCCAAGTTAAGCTATTGTCCTAAACACTGCCAACCATTCTCTAAACCTCTTCTCCCTTAAACTAACACAAACCAAGGGCCTTCTTCAATGATCTTGTCAGCCATATCCTCATCCTGAACCAGAATGGTGAAGATATTGCCCTTAATATACGTGATTTTTGCCTCACCAAAGCTTTCCCATGCTTTCGCTAGGATATTTTTTATGGCACCCCTGTTTGGTACCTTGTCAGCTATGATTGCCCCAATCAGCTTTGGACCACTTTCCAAGCTTGAAAGGCCCAGAGATCACCAACTCCTCAGTCTTGGCGTTGTCCATGTTGTCCTCCATTAATGTCTTCCTTTTAGGTTGTAGGCCCGAATAAATGCCACTGAGCATGTTGCCAATAGTCATAAAGTCTGGACAATCTTTCTCCAGAGTCATAAAATCCAGGTGAACTTCATGCATCTTTGGTGGCTGGTAGCCTTGAATGTGGTGTAGCTTGTTTTCTTCAGTTTAGTATTTCTGATTTGGTTTCGCAAATAGGTGAGGGAGCTCTCATTCTAGATAGAGAGATTCAAACTTGATTAGTTTTCCCTGTGCTTGAGAAAAGAGTTTTGAATTTGATGCAGCAGTTCCCTTCAACCCCCATATGTACGCACTGCCATTTCTGAACCCCACAAAAATGGTAGCAATAACCAAGTGGCTACATGGTTTTCGATTTGGGTGAATTTTTATAAGGATGATCTTTGGGTATGGAATTCAAACATGAACAGTTCCAATTATGAGATTAAATTGTAGTGGGACAAAACAAGTTGTAAGAGACATTAACTATCAATACGATAACTATACTATAATAATCACTTCAGATAAATGCAAAAAGGTGATTTGTACCACTTTTTTAACAACATTAATGTAGAATATAATAAATTTTTCTCCAACGGGGGTCTCGTCCAATGAAAAATGATATTAAGTTACGTACAATGGTCTCAGATTCGAACCCCATGACACCTTGATAGTGATTGTGTGCTCAATAGAGTTGGTTTGTAAGGCTCCTAATCTTGCTGCAGGTGCGGTTCTTATGCTCTGCGTACAATAGACTACACTAGTCTTCATGGAAGATAATTGTTTTCATTTTCTTTTATAATTGTTTTCATTTCTTCCATGAAGAGAATTTTGAGTGAATTTTTTTCTGGAGTAGGTAGGAGACGGGATAATGGAGCTCTAGTCAACAGAATACTTGTCACATGATGAACATTAAGAAGAAACCTCCTTGAAGCTTCAAGCAGTTGGTGTGAAAACCATCTTATTAATTAATTAATTCTCTTACATCATTTCAACCTTCCAAGTCCACAAGTCAATCTGCCTGTTGATTCCAGAAAAAGGAAACCGTCTTCTACTCCAAGACCCTACATTGGTCTTTTTCTTGCAGCACAGAAATCTTCACCATCTCCAACCTCAGAATTTCCAACACATTCACAACCAAAACCCACTTAAATAATTCCTCAACAAAAATTTGAAAATTCCCATCAAACTTAATCACCATGATGTTCTCTAAGAACATGGAAATGCCTTCAGCCAAAACGGTGATCTCCACCGCAGCCTCAGTAGCCGCCGCGGCCATGTTAATCCGGTCCACGGCACGTGACTGGGTGCCCAGTGAGCTCCGACATTATGTTTCACTGAAACTCAGAAGCCTCTTCAGCTCTCTCTCTTCTCAGCTCACCCTTGTCATTGAAGAGTTCGAAGGTCTCAACCACAACCACCTTTTCAAGGCTGCCCAACTGTATTTGAGACCCATAATCTCCCCCAACACAAAAAGATTCAGAGTCACAATGCCAACCAAAGAAAACAAGATCTCTGTTTCCATGCTGAGAAATGAAGAGATCGTCGACTTTTTCAATGGAGTCAAACTCAATTGGAAGTTGGTTTCCAAGGAAATCCCATCCAAGTACATAGACAATCCGGACAGTAGAGGTCGATTCGGGGGATGTACGCTGAAATCCGAGCTCCAGTACTGGGAATTGAGCTTCAACAAGAAGCACAAGGACTTGGTCATTGGCTCTTACTTGCCATATGTACTGGAAAAGGCTAAAGAAGTTAAGGAAGAATTTAAAACCTTGAAGTTGTTCACTTTGAAGTATGATCGGAGGATGGGAGGGATGGGAGGAGACGTGTGGCAATCCGTGAATTTGGATCACCCGTCCACGTTCGAGACATTGGCAATGGAAGGAGAGGCCCAGAAGATGATCATGGAGGACCTTGAGAGATTTGTGAAGAGGAAGGAGTATTATAGGAAAGTTGGGAAGGCTTGGAAAAGAGGGTACTTGTTGTTCGGGCCTCCGGGGACCGGGAAGTCGAGCTTGATCGCTGCCATGGCTAATTACCTTAACTTTGATATCTATGACTTGGAATTGGCTGATGTCAGGAGAAACTCTGAGCTCAGGAAGTTGCTGATTGCGACTGCGAACCGGTCGATTCTTGTGGTGGAGGACATTGATTGCTCTGTTGAAATTCAGAATAGGCTTTCAGCAGCCAGGGCTACAAATCCTCGTGGTTTTTCTGCTCAAAGAACTGAGGTAATTCATTGGTCTCACAAAAAAATAGTATTTTGGTATTGCGTTTGCTAGAGAAAAAAAATTGCTACTTGCCAACTTTGAGAGGTTTGCAATGACATGAAATTGTCCTTGCATCACTGGACATGAAGAGAACCAACAGTTAAGCTCGAGGTCGAGGCTTTGAGAAAAATTGTAGTTGTTTTTTGTTGCATTTGATCCGAAAATAATTAAACTTGATCACGATCATATGTTTTCTATATTTTCTTTTAGGTGACTCTGTCAGGATTGCTCAACTTCATAGATGGACTGTGGTCAAGCTGTGGGGATGAGCGGATCATAGTGTTCACCACCAATCACAAAGACCGGCTTGACCCGGCCTTGCTGCGGCCGGGTCGAATGGATGTGCACATCCACATGTCGTTTTGCAGCCCATGTGTGTTCAAAACGTTGGCCTCCAATTACCTTGGAATTACAGAGCACACACTTTTCTTTGACATAGAGCAGTTGATAGCCACCATGAAAGTGACCCCTGCAGAAGTAGGAGAGCAGTTGCTGAAGAATGAGGATCCTGAATGTGCGCTGAGAGACCTAATTGGGTTCCTAGAGAGAAAGAAGAGTGCAACTGAGGAAGCTGCAAGTAAAGCAGAAGATGGAGAACCAAAAACTGTTGAGTAGGAAGATCACAGCAACTGTGGCTGTAAGGAAAAGGCAAGGATTATAGACCAGGGTAACTGTAACCAGGCAAGAATAAATTAGCCGTCCTCCGGAGAAATTTAAATGAGAATAGCACAATATGATTATTTTGGAGTGCCAATAACAGTTCTTTGTTATATAGAGTTAGAAGTGGACTAAGAAAAATGCGAATCGGCAAAAAGGTTTTTTCTTCTGGTGACAAATAAAATTATCAGACCACACGCCGGATACAAAATTTGAAACTGCGAACATGTTCAATTCGATTGAGGTAATTTATGTTACCAATAGTTTTTTAAGGCCTTACTGGAATGAGCCCTTCTTTCTTTGGATTTGTATTGTATAACAGGTGGCACCAAATTCAATGGATAGATTTACTCAAGAATATTGAGTCTATTCAAGGCACATTTATTTCTGAACAAACATATAAGTGGAGAATTCTTAGTTGTGAATCCGAAGGTCTACAAAACTTATATTTGGACAATTTTTCAGTGAAGTCCAAATAGTTCAATCTTATCAACGTCAATGGCATCCAAACAAATCCTATTCCAAGCACATCACGAGCTCAGACAACGGCGGCCAAGAAGCCAAAATAAAACTGATCTTTCAAAAACAAAACAAGCGAAAACTTGATGAAAAAAATCCACCAAATATACTACACCAAAGAAGTAATATGATCCAACTCCATTTTCTTATAACAGTACACCATAGTATTTTTAGTAATTTAGAAAATAAAGTGATGCGTTCGTATCAACTGCAAAGTGCCAAAGCAAGCTCAAAAAAGCTGGGAAGCAAAAAATACAAAGTATCCTAAATCACCTTGGAACCACCATGTGTATTGTGGAACTAAAGGATTCCAAATTACTACAAACGCAAAGCTTCAACTATATCCAACCTAGCATTTATTCATCTGTATTGAAACTCTACATCACCATGAACCTGCAGATCCCGCTCCTGAAACATGATATATAAAGGTTTCAGTCTCACAGAATGTTAAATTTGAGGATTAGGTAATTAAATTTTACACTAAATGCTGGTTTAAACTTACAGAACACTCTTTTTTTTTTAGTGGAAGAGTACTTCACAAAAAGCCTGAAAGCGAAGTGGGTCCCAAAGGGGTAGCAAGTCCAAAGTCAAACAGGCCCAAAGAAACAAGACCAAGAACCCTCACTTGATGAGGCTATAATGAGGGGTTATAATGACCCATTACACCCTCAATCAAACAGTACACAGGCCAGTTCCCCAATCCATCCTTACTAGACCCATACAACTAAAGCCAGATAAGGCTAAACAAAAATGCAAAACGCCAAACACAAGTGAAAAAAACATCATCCCAATCAGATGGGAGCAGCAGCTCCGGCAAAACTCCACAAGGGCGAGGGCAGTACCGATGACTCTCAACAAAAGAGAGAACGAGCACTTAAAGCGACTCTCATTTATTTCCCTGAAGCAGGACATGCCTTTCTTAAGATTTACAGAATCATCTAATTAGCACTCTATCATTCATGTTATGAAGAGGGCTACCCTTTTCATTTCGTTCCTAATTTTTGGTTTGTTTATAAAACTAGAAGCTTTTCTTATAAAATTCTAAATCAAAAATTATCGTAGACAGATCATAAGGTAGCCAGACACACATACTCGACTACTGCGTTTTCACACCCCCATAATGTATACCACCATATGAATTCTTTAATACGACAATAACTACACAGATAATCACGGAATCTACTAACCAACTTGATGGGCAGCGATGCATATGTAAACTCTACAGCCCAAAGAAATCTCAACTGCATGCTATGCAAACTAATTTAAAATAGTAAAGTAACAATTTGAGGCATAAGCAGGGTTAGACTCATCAGCAGAAACAAAAAAGAAAATGTAAAATCATGTACTTGCCTCGAAACTAACAGCAGCTTCGCCTAGAAATAAAGATAAGTCTCTGAGCTCTCTACTGAAAATTTGAGAGAGCCCTATACGGCCATTTTCATTTCTATCTTCTGATGAGGATCATAACCTATCAGTTTGAAATCAGCCGCTACAAAAGAATCTATATTCTTTTTCTCGGGATTGATCTTCAAAATCTGCATAAAAATAGAGGTAAGCAGTTGTAACTGGTCAGTACATATAATGGGTAGAAATGAGAGAGGGAGGGGTGAAGTGAGTACACTTTCAAAACTAAAAACAAGATCATTTATATAACATCATAAAACTTACTGGAAAAGGCTTGGGCAATTTCTCAAGCTGCTCCTGCAAAGGCCTGACGTGAGTGCGATAGACATGAGCATCCCCTAAAACATGAATGAAATCACCTGGAACAAGATCTGCACAAGATAAAAGTCTATTAAAGACAGACTCTTAAGATGCAACATTAAGGTTCTTAAATCCATTAGATAGCCAATGACACAAAAGTCCCAGCTAAAATGATCTAATCCAATAACTGATAAAACTATCTTTAGAATGCGTACCACAAACATGAGCAATCATGCATGTCAGAAGGGCATATGATGCAATATTAAATGGCACACCCAGGCCGATGTCAGCAGAACGCTGATACATTTGACATGATAACTCTCCATTGGCTACGTAGAACTGCAAAGACAAATATAAGGATGTAGTAAAACAAAAGACATATGATAAAAAAAACAAAAGACATATGATAAAGAAACAAAAGATGTACCATCTCAAGACAAACCTGAGCAAACATGTGACAAGGTGGGAGTGCCATCAATTTGAGATCAGACGGATTCCAGGCCGAGAGTATAATCCGCCGATCATCTGGATTAATTTTAATCTTGTCAATAACATCTAACAACTGATCAAATCCTTGGCCAGTGTAGTCAGCATTCATGTCAGTATACCTGTAATATGGAAGAGAAATAGGTGAATTCGAAGCTAGACTTTTTTGGATAAAGTAAAAATCTAGACGCTGAACTTAAACTGAGGTACACTAACCTAGCACCAAAGTGTCGCCACTGGAACCCATATACTGGTCCCAAGTCACCCTCTTCCTTGTCAGTTAAACCAACACTGAAGTGGATACAAAATCACTTAGAAAAGCATGAAACCTGGAACTTGTCACACATTTGGGAAGTCTAATACTTGCCTGTCAAGGTAGTCTCTAGAAGCATTTCCATCCCATATGTGAATGCCTTTCTCCTGAAGGACCTGCCAACAAATCAAATATAAGCACTAAATAGAAGAACCTACTTCTTGTCATAAACTTCTCTTTCAGAAAAAGGAAATCAATGGCGTTTGCGTCTTTTACAAGCCAGCAAGGTAAGTATGGTCTCATATTCATGGAAAGTTAAAATATAAATATAACTCTTAAAGTAAAAATGAGAACATATTTTTAAATGTAAGAAACTTCCAAAATGGTCCCTTTCAACTGCTCCTACTTCACAAAATTATACACATTTTCAAAGCAATGGCCCTACTGAAAACATCAGAACAAGTCATCACTTTTTATCAATGTACAGTGGAGAAAACAGAAACACAAATTTCAAAAGCTCAACTTTGGATAAACAAATCAACTTTTCAACAAGCGCAAACTCAACTTGTTCAACTGTGGTCCCCTTGTGATGTAAAGAATATGAAACAAGGAAAGCATACATATGAGTTAAACGTTCATCGAAATTGTAATACCTTGGCATTTGTTGAACCACTTATGAACCACAGAAGTTCTTCAACAACCCCTCGCCAAAATACTTTCTATTGGACCAAATGACCAATGTATGTCAGTTTATGTACTAAAATGGATTTATAAAAAATAATAATAATAAATAATAAATAAATAAATAAAAATTCAAGTCTCTAACAATTGAACCTCTTGCCAAGAGAGAAAATTGGTATACCTATCAAAATTAAGAAAGATAAAAGCAACACATATGTAAAAGAACAGATCTGAGCATATGCACACCTTGGTTGTCAGAAGAGGAAAAGTTTTGCGAAGATTGAACCGCATCTGTGGAGATACTAAGAAAATTAGCAAACATCACTTATCCGCTTTTAATCAAGAGAATGCTAAATGAAACATAACAGTAATTTCTCAAAACTTAGCTTGAGATTACCTGACAACCAAATTTTGATAAAGTACCAGTCCCTGTCCTATCATCCTTAGAAGTGCCATCTGAGAGGATTTCTCGAACCAGACTTAGATAAATGTGCTCTTCATGTTTTTCAAAAATCATCTTGGGCAGGAAAGAGAAATTCTTTACCTCACACTTAATGGAATCCGACTTACTACTAGAGATTAGATCATTGTTTTGACAAAGGGATTCAACTGCAGAACTCCTTACACGAACATAAGTTGTGAAGGAATAGCGAATGCTATTTTCCACCTTGGGAAAGGATGAATACCACGGCTGAAATACAGAGGAATCAATTGCAGGGATAAAAGTGTCACATTCAATGTTTGTCTCTATTTCTGTAATGTGAATGGCATCACAGCCAGGCGCATTGAGAGCTTCCCTGGATACAGAAATGTTAATAAAAGAAATAAAGAAAAACACAGTTAGCAATATAGAAACAAACAACAAAGTCACACCTTAGTATCTGGCCACCCCCTATGATAAAGACTTTGTCAATTGACAGACAATAAGGAGAAGCAGCTAACAATTCCAAAGCAGATGCCATGCTTCCACATATCACAACATTCTCTGCAGTAGCAATATCAAAACTCCCAGAACGAGTCAGAACAACATTAAGGCGACCAGGTAGAGGTCGATGCTCAGGGAGAATGCTCTCCCATGTTTTTCTACCCATAACAACCGCATTTTTTTTTCCGGGATCTGATGTGGTCACAGTGACTTCCTTAAAGAACTTGAGATCAGAGGGCAATCTCCAAGGTAGTTTCCCATCCTTTCCAATACCCATTTCTCGGGTCGCAGCCACAACAACTTGGTAAGTCCTTTGTGGATTAGGCTGGGTGTTACCATTGCCATTGGCGCTCACCAACAACTCACCAGCCATAGTAGAACCCATAGACTGAAACAAACTCAAAGATAACAGCCTAAAACGAGGACCGCACAGCCAATTTTTGTGGAAGTGCGGTAAACCCTACAATGTAACATAAATATGTTATAAGAAACTACAATGTAACATAAATATGTTATAAGAAAACAAAGGATTAAAGCGCAGATACAAGCATATAATCTATGAATGAGAAACAAAACAGCAAAAGAGAACAGTGAAAGTGCATAAGATAAGATTAATGAATACATCGTAAGTTATCATCTAATTTCAAACAATTGGGGCATGTAAAGGGAAACCCACCAAATTCAACTAACTATTTAGCTATAAATTATTAGAAACAACAAACAGAGATATGGGTTGCTAGTAAAACAGATACCACCGTTATTGCTGACCTAGACATCAATCTGTGCAAGACACTCAGTTTATAAGATTATCTTGAGTAACATACAGTATGAACCTCAAGTCCAGTCTCAAAATCTGTGCTTTAAAAAAGAAAAAATCAATAACAAGTAATGATTGATAGTAAAATTTGCACGCAATGTGAAAAATAATTAGAGCAAAATTCTAATCAGACCCAGTAAAATTTTAGTCCAAGAATTACACAAATGCAATGATTTTCAAATAGTTACAAATCCTGATGATGAGAAAATTGGGAAAAAGAAGTAAACCAGCACCAATTTACCAGAAATGAAGCATAAAGTAATAGATCCTCCCCAAAAACACAATTACAATAAAATAAATATATAATAAGACAAGTAAAAAAACAATTGAAAAGAGAAGGTTGAAATGGGAGAAGCAACTGACCGATCTCAAACCGAAGAGCGAAATCTTGAGTTGTGGGAGCCAAGAGTGACAGAAAGATGGAGAAAATTTGAGTGAGAATTAGGGTTTTGCGAGCGAAGCAGTGAGAGCGAAATGGAGAGAGTAAGAAAACACAAGGAGCGAAGGGCTGAAACCGCTTTCTTCGCTTTCAATCCTTTTTCTCTTCTTCTCTCCCTCTGAGAAGAGAAAATAAAATAAGAGAGAAAATATAAAAAGATGGGGGAAGAGAGAGAGAGAGGGAGAAATAGAAAAATTAAATAAAATAATTCCAACACAGCGGCTGGCTGACATGTACACGAAGAAATCCAAAAGCACATTTGACGCGGAGTTCCGCCAGGGTCTGAGTGGTTGAGGTGGGTGTGCGTTTACTCAAATGCCCTTGCTTTTCTACATTTTTGCTCACATTGCATTGCACCGACTTTTCATTTATATATATTTTTGTTAACGAAAATTTAAGAAACCAAAGCCTTTGAGATTAGCCTAAGCACTGATAAAGGTCCACAAAAGGATTAGAATTACAATAGGTTAAAGGATAGGTTAAGGGGTAGGTATGATCACTTCTAATGTATGAAATAGAAACATTTCATTCAACCAATAAGAGGGCGAGTATTAGACGGACTATAAAACCAGATAGTTTACGTTTGAATTCTTAGTAGTGCAAGAACATTTAAACATTATTTTATCACGCCAAGTGCAATTAATTGCTTGTATTTTAGGATTATTTGAAGTATTATATCCATTAGATAGTGGTCAGCAATCATGATAGAGTTTTCCTTGGTACTCAAAAGAAATTTTGGCTCCTTGAAAAATTTATCTTGTTAGTTTGGCGTGTCATGTTGCTAAACTCTCAATTTGACTAATTAATTATGTTAATGTATTTTGTTACATTGGAGAGAATCAAATCCTTTATTTATCAAAATCATAACATGATATCCCATAGTTCCTCACCATTTGGACTAACCCTAAGGACTTCATGTTGATTCTTATTTAATTGTATTGTCTAAAATCGTAACATGGTATCCCATACTTCCTCACCACTTGGACTAATGGATTCTTATTCACCAAATGTCGTCTATATATGCTACTTTGCTTTTTCCTCGTGTATTATACTTTTCTTGTTTATTCTAAGTACTTTTCTTGTTTATTCTAAGTGGTTTCTTTAGGGTTGCATTAGACACCACTTGGACATAAGCACCCTCCTCAATAGATTGTTTGTTAATGTGGCTAGAGAGCCTCTTTGACCTTTTGTATGAAAGATTTAGGATCAAAGGTCGACTAAAACAAACATGAAAATTTTATGAGAAAAAAATGTGCATTTCTAATTATGTAGCTCAATGACCCAATTAAGTTCTAATGAGATGTGAAAAATGTTGATTCGTTTTTTAGTAGTTTGTTTTGACAATCGTTCATGCACGCGTGAGTGACTGTCAACCGTTGATGTATGTAAAATATGTATATATAACAATCATTCCTTCTTGTAAATTCACATTTTAAACTAGCATTTTCATCTCTTCTACCACATGGAAGCCACTGAATGGCAAAACCCTCTTCAGATTGAGCATAATGATGAACAAATTCTCATGATCATGACTGACCAAAAAAAAATGAAAAGCAAAGTCTTTTTATAGAGCAAAGGGTACTCTGGTTATTATATGCAAAAGCAGAGGGTAATTAGGAGATTCCATGATTAACCAATAAACATAAGCACCATCTCGACACTAACGGCCCAACGCACAGCCAATAGGCACACTTAAATCCAAAGCTGTGTGCTACGTAGTACGTACGGCTGAAAGGCGGGAAATCAATACCAGTCACTAGGATCATGACACATGTCTACCTCAATTCGAACTTAATTGCATACTGCATCACAGCCGTCCACTTGGCATCTATTGAAATGTCCTGTCAGCGTCCTATAGCTTTAGGGTAATTAATCATAATTAGTTGTTACTTCGACATCTCAATTACTTATCGTGCTATATTTTTTAGTTTTAATATTTTTGGATCCAAAAAATAATAATAAAATAATAAACATGATGGCAAATTGTCTATGTTGCATACAATTTTATATTTATTTATTGAGATATGATTTTCTTTGCTGAATTTTATATTGCACTTGGAAAAATGACCTAGTTTGGTCCGATAACACAAGAATTCTGACCTTTTCTTTTTGGAACATTTGTTTAGGCACGGATTTATTTTTATTTGTTTAATTTATGGCATTCATTGGATAACTTTGGATTGAAATCTTCACGAAGAAAAGAAGATAAAATTAGTCACTGTTTTTTTTGTTTTTTAATGTAGACGAGAGTGAGAGTGAACGTCAAAGAATGCACGATGGAGTAAGTGTTTTACTACTTGAGCAATAAATCCTCATTCTTTTCTTTTTTTAATGAAAGAAAACATAAAACTAAAACTCTCTAATAAATAAATAAATAAAATATAAAAGAAATTGTTACGTCGAAAAAGAATTACTTAATTTCAAAATTTTCGAAATGTTTTTGTGTACATATGCTTTCTTATGTCGATTACATTTCGTGGAAAAAAGTAGTTGTTAAAATTGAACCCTATTCAAGCCCTTCACTACTTTTGGAAGTGATCCATTCATTGGAATATGCTTGCTCCATAACTGAAAAGAAGGGAGGAGGGGGTGTGTGTGTGTGTGTTATCTATCAAGAACCTTACCTGATTAAAGTCAACAATTTCGGAAGTAGTGACTCATTAGGGTCAACAATTGCGGAAGTAAATAGTTTAAATGATTCTCATAGAATATTGGAAAAAAGACCAATTGCTCTAACTCCACCCAAATATATTGGAGGGAACCACATACTAGTTGGTGGGAATATTGCCGTGTCTAAAAGTTCACATGAAGAAAGATAAAGCTCAGAAAAAAGCTTGCTCTATATACAAAAGAAACTTGGAACTCAATGAAGTTTTAATTTTATGATATGACTGTTTTAGTTGTTTGTGTAGTTTTTGTCTGTTTTAGTTTTGCCTTTTGAGCTAATTTATTTACTTAAATTTGTTGTTTCGATAAAGAAAAATGAATATCATTCCATATATCCATATCCATAAACAATCGCTCATGCACTTGATGTTTTGTGTTGAATTCTCCTTCTCCTAATATCATTTGTATTATAGAAAACAAAAGGAAAAACGTAACCCAACTAGCCGAGTTTTGACTCGGGCCGTAGTGGTTGTGTTACATTTGAGAGGTGAGTGTTCTTTTAAGGAGGGGGATAAAAAGGTGAGATTACCAGTGGAATATACCTCAAATGGTTGAGCTCTTCCACCTCCATCTATGTAGGCGAAGGTTTGAAACTCAAGCACCCAATGAATATTTGTGTAAACCCCCCTTCCTCTCAATTGCTTGTACTTATAAAATAAAATAAAAATAAAAAAAGTTGGATTAGCTTTGATAAAATCCATTTCCCATCCATTTCCCATCATGGAATATAAATCCATTTGATAACACTAGTAATGATGTAAGTTTTCTACAATCTGATGTGTAAAAGCGCATAATTACTGACAACTCACAAGATAACATGCTGGAAAAGTCTGAAATACCCCTGAAAAGGAGATCGTGCTACACAAGAAGATGACATGCTTGGAGCTTCCTGCACCATCAAACTCATTGGTATGAGCTGCAAATAATCTCCATATGCAAAATGGTTCTGCAACTGGGAAATTTTTTATGTCTTAATTTACCGTTTCGAGTGAACAAACAAAATAAGGTGGTACAACTTATATTAAAGAGATAACTTCATATCCAAATACAAAAGTTCCAATGTTACAACAAACAACATACGAGAAAAATTCTGGCCTCTTTAACTGGCTCTAACTAATCAAGGTCGCGCAATCAAAGACCGTCAAAGAATCGCATATGATCTTCAAATGTCTCTGCATGTCGGATCTTGGCCACTGATCCATCATCTTCAACCTGAAAACATTGTGAAAACAATGAGAAATAAGTTCTTGGAAAGAGCATAGATGTTGGTGTCAGGGTGTAGGGATTGTTGGCAGTCACAAATTCATACCCAATATTCTGGAGGTCGCATTTTAAGATTGTAAGTTGAAGCCATGCTCATGCAGTAAGCGCCTGCATCATGAACAACCAGACCAGCTCCCTGAAATGGGAAAATCTAGTTCAGAAATCAAGCACCAAAATCCATAAAGAAGGAAACCTCCAG